TGCCATCATCTGTGGATGCCTGTTAGGAAATGTCAAAATTGACCATAGTGGAGCCATTTTAAGATGGAGCTGCCTTTCAGAGAACTGCCTTGCTGTCTTGAACCTTGGACTGGTCCAAACCTTCCTACTGGGCCAAGCAGCAGTGGTTCGAGAAGTCAGCAGGACAATGGGCGTGCTGATCACAAAGACTGAGGCTGGTGCACTTTCTGAAGATAGGCATTAGTCAGTCCGTGTTTAGCCAAGACCAGCTCTCTGCCTCCAACTGCAGTTAACATTCTTTGTAGTAAATCTCCCTTCTTTGCCTCTAAAAGCCCCTGACTTTTATTCCCTAGTGGGACGCTATTTGGGTTTCTGCCTGAGTCTGTGCTCCCCAAATTGCAATTCCTTAATCCCAAATAAATGCTTTGCCTCTTAAAGTGGTTTCTGTTTTTGAAGGTTGACAGAGACATACCCTTTAGGAGCAAAGGTTGGACCATAGTGGTGCTGGTTCATGGGTGCTCTTGGAGGACAAGACTGTGTCTTATTCTTTGTATTCCCAGTTATTGACTTCCATAATGCTAATAGGTAGTAAATGTTGAATAAATCTATGGTCAGTAGATCATCAAGTCAGTAGATCTTAAGAACTACTCTTAAGAAAGAATTTACTTTTCTAGAGACTTAATTTCTAAGCAGGTTTGTTGTTTGAACTTTTTTTTCAAAAAATGGTTGGAACTGCTATTTTTATGATTTTCGCTACTCTGAGGATGGTTTTAAAAAAATTGTGATGTTGAGTTAAATTGATTGAGAGAATATTAGTGTCACTAACAGATGAAGACTGAGAAAAGGCTTGGGGATGAGGGAGTGAGTTCCCTTTGAGGTGCTTGCGTGCATTGAGTGGGGATATCTGACAGGCAGTGGGCCCTGGGGTTTGTGGCTCCACCCACCCCACCCACTGTTTGGGAAGAGGTGTGGCCAGGCCTCTGGATGTCTTGGTTTCCTTAAGTGTAGGACCCGGGTCGGGGTGGTAGTCTGCACCGCGAGGGTTGAATACAGGTCAGCAGGTGGGTGGTCACGGTGGCAGCAGCTGGGGCGGGTTTTTCCAGGTGGAGATGCTTCTTCTTGCTTCCTGCAGCCCTCCATTGTGTTTGAGCCTTTTCCTGTAGGCCTTTTGTAATTTAGTAATAAATGAAACTCAGCTGACTTCGGACATTCTGGAAGAACAGGTCTGTATGCCTCCAGATCAAGGTCCTTTTCCTCCCCCTCCCAGGTCGCAGGCATCATATTCAGCTGGTTTTGCTCTTTGCCCTCCGACGTGATGTTAAAGGATGTGTAGGCTGGATGACTTTCCGTAGTCCTGTCTTGATCTGGGTGAAGTTGTTCTGCAGACGGTGATGACATGGTGCTTGCTTCTCTGCTCTCTCTGCCCTTTGCCGTATTCCTTTTGGAGGTAGCTAACGGGCGGTGGGCAACCACGGAGTCGGGGTGGAAGCGCAGAACGCTTTACTGGATTTAATGAATGATCTAATGCATTGGCATGATCATTCAGTTCCTTGTTCTGGATTTTATTTTTTACTGTGAATATTTTAATTATCTTTCTTCTAAAACAGCTGGAGGGAACATGACTTATTTTTAACCACCAGCTAGTTAAGACCATCATTGCCTGTATTTGGAGTGGTAGACAACAACACAATGTATTTTTAATCTTGCTCTCATCAGACATTAATCAGTTCCTTGGAAGGAGGCTGTAGCTGTGTCATAAACTGAAAAGTCAGGAGAGTTTCACGTGGGACGAGAAAGAAAAAGCGAAAGTGACTAAGTATTTAGGAAATCAGTGTTGGGGATGACTAAGGAAGCATCCTAAGTGGCAGTTTGGGGAGACAGAATGACTGGGATTACAGGAGTCTCGTCTTGTCGTTTTGGCCGCCTTTCTTCCCTTTCCCAGTCGGCTGCTTCTGGCCCGTTTTCCCTGCTGCAGACCCTCACAGCCCTGTCCCGAGCCCTCTGCTCTTTGTAAGTTTTGTGGCATAATCGCCACCAGCCCAGGTGTCTCAGCCGACTCTTGGCTCCTGCCTCTTAAATCAGCCTTTCCCGATCTGATCTCTCTCTCGATTTGTTTTTCCAACAGTCTGCTCCATATTTTTTGTGCTCATCTCCTCGAGCCCCTCAATTCAGCTCACCAGGAATCCATGTCGTTGTCCCCTTCTCTCTGCACCCCTAGTCACCCCCTTTCTCCTCTGTCCTTATCTTGGTTAAAGACACCACTGCTCACCAGTTTGTTCTTTCTAGGAACCCTGGACGTCTCTGTACAGCTTCTTCTTTTCCCGCCCTGAGTTGGTTGTTCCGTCTCTGGCCCTACCCCTGCCCTGCCCTTTCTGCTCAGCCCCGCCCTGGCTTGGGTCGGCCCTGTCCTCCCTCCCTCCAGCATGGACCTCCTAACTGGGCCCTGGCCTCCAGTTGGCCCCCTGCACGTCTGTCTCTACACCAGCCCAGGCTCTTCCTCGTTTGGTCAATGCTGTGCTCGGAAACTTTGGGTGGCACCTGGTTATTTATTTGTTCGCAGCAGTGTTTTACAAACTGTTCTTTGAGATGTTTGCACGGGACATCTTGTGGGAGAAAAAGCTGATTTAGAAGACCAGGTCTGAAGTTTTAGTAATCTCTAGGAGTCCCCCCTACATGGGCTCCTGTCTGTCTTCTGGCTTCAGACTTCTCTCCTGCCCCTTCCCCTCCTGGGTTCTTAGCTCAGAAAGAAAGCTCCCCCGGGCAGGGGTGCTGAGACTGTGTCAGCCAGCTCTCCCTACTGTTCGCCTTGTTTGCATTCGCTTTCTCTGCTTCTCCTTTTACCTTGATCCTCCTTGTCCTTTCAGACCCGGTGAACATAGATATCACTTCTTGTCATAGGCTTCTCTGCTTCCCTAGCATTTGTTAACATGCATGTTTGGGTTGTGTTTTAGTTGCAAACTCCTTTTCAATGTATCATAGATACCAGTAGGCTGAGTTCCTGTTAGTTGTCTTATATATGATGGGACTTCAGCTTATCAAAGAAAATATTTAAAATATAATTATTTAATGTAATTGCTATGTTGGTTAAATAAACATTGTTTATTGATTTTGTTCAAAAGTTAGTTATGAAGCTTACCTTAAGATAGAAATGAATTATTTTCATAAACACTGTTTGGACCATTACTGTAACATTTTCACAATGAAGTAGGATTTGTTTTAGGTCATTATCAAAATATAAATTTAAACTAGAGGATGTAGTTTATTTTGTTTGAAAGCTGTCTTTCTGAACCGTCCAATTACTAGCCAGCCCGGGTGAGGTACAGATATTTAACTCGAGAGAACAGACTCGCTTAGGCACAGGGCACAGTTCTGGTTCTGCCTGGGCTGTCCTTATTAAGAAGCAAGGCATGGCATTTGAGCTTATTTGGAGGGGATTTGGGGTTCCTTGTGCACGTTTGTAGAAGTGGGCACTGACCTGGGTGATTTCAGGTTGTGAGATTCACCCCCTGTGTGTCAGTGGAGGGCTTGGTGGCTGCAGAATCTCGGCATCAGAGAGTCACCTTCTGTCCCTGGGCTGCCACGCACTGTCCCTGGGAAGCCCTGAAAAGCTCTGGCCGTGATTTCCTTACTTGTTTGGACTGCTTGACTCCATAGAAATGTGATTTCAAAGCACATCTCCAGCGCTAGAATCTTATGGGTCTAGTTTCATGGTTCAGTGTTATTGACAAGTGTCAGGCTGTTTATTTGAAACTTGTGTTTCTCCCTCAAAGCTTTTGGTGTCTGTTTCTAGAATCCTTGCGTCTTGGTTTGGATCTCTCTGCATTTGGCGCTTGGGGCACTTTGCATATGGAGACTCATATCGTTCAGTCTGCTGAGTTTTGTGATCATGTCTTTGATTTACTGCTGTTTATTTTGTTTGTTTTCTGTATCTGGAACTTCTTTCCTGATGTGGGACTGCTTGCCCTGGTCTTCTGATCTTCTCTTTCTTTCCTATTAATCTGAGAGAGTTCAGAACTGCATTTTCCAGATTTCCTGTTGACTTTTTCAGTTTTGCTGTCGTCATTTTAATTTCCAAAAGCTCTTTTATTTGTGTCCTGAATGTTCTTATTTTAAAAGCGTGCCTTTCTTTTTTCATGGATACTGTGTCTTCCGTTACTTCTTTCAGCATTAATTACAATTCTTTTGAATATTTTTCTACTCCTTGAAGAGTAACTATCGTGTTTTTTCTCCTTCATATCTTCCACCTTTTGTTATCTGTTGTTCCTGTTAGGTGTTTTTTCGATGTTTAGTGATCCTTCTGTGTCTTATAATTCAGATTGGCGCATGAAAACAACTGAGTGGAAGTGTTGACCATGAGTTGAGACTTGTTGGCTGTTGTTTGTTGGGTATATTTTTTGGTCGTTTTTTTCTCTTTTGGGGTGATACTCCCTAGGGAGAAGAGAAGGCTCTTCCGATTTCCTTGCCTGAAGGGTATAATCCTTCCTGTCAGTGCTCCGAGGTTCTGGGTGGGGCAAAGGGGACTTGGGGTGCAGGGAGGGTTGGTCAGTGTCCTCTCATGCCCCGTTTTCACTGCAAGGACCCCTGCTCCCAGTCACTGCTGGTGCCCCCAGCCAGGGACCTGACAGTGGGCAGAGACGGTGCCTTCCTGCCTCACAGACCTTCACCCGGCTGTTTGTGGCCCCGCAGTCCAAGGGTCTGGTTGCTGAGGCTCGGCCTCCGTCTTGGAGTCAGATTTGCCCGCCCAGTCATGACCACTCATGATCTGCTTTTCAGCTTCCAGGGTTGGTTCTGATCACCCTTCTTCTCTTCTTTTTGTTCCTGTGAGTTTACGCCTTCTAAAGAGTCGTGGCAGCTGTCCTTAGAGTTTGGGTCGGGAAGGAGAGGGTCTCCGGGTGTGCTCAGGGGCCAGTCTTCACCTGAAGGGAAAGGGGCTCTTGTACTTTTTCGTGTCCCTATCTTGATGCTTCTTCAGTAGAAAGCCTTACTAACCAAAGAGCTATATTTTATAATTCTCGTTGTTTTATGAAAAATGTAAGGCTTCATGACATCTGTTCTTCTCACTGCCCCAAGAAGCCTGGACTTGTGGGTTTGTGGCTCTGCTGTGCACAGGTCCTGGCGTCTGGGTGCTGGAGAGAAGGACGGGTTACTCCACTGCGGCAGAGCAGAGCACCTGTCAAGGTGGGTGCTTCTCCCCGCCAGATGCGTGGTGTGAACAGATACTTTCTGGGGTTTGTATGTTTGGTTTTCATAGAGGTGGTACACAAAGAGGCCTTTCTCACTCAAATTTTCTGTGTTCATTACTTAGCAATTTTCCTTCCTTCTGTAAAATTTACAATTATTTCTCTTGTGTTGTGTGTCTCCAGGTTGCCTGAAGCTCAGCAGAGAGTCGGCGGCTGCTTTTTAAATCTGATGCCACAAATGAAAACCTTGTACCTTGCGTATTGTGCCAATCACCCATCTGCAGTGAACGTTCTCACGGAGCACAGGTGCGCTCACTCAGGCATTCTTCATGGGAACGAGAGGACTTCTTGGGCCCTCCAGAAGAGCTCATTTCTGTCGATAGTTCATGAAGTGCAATGCTGATATTCAGTTGTTTATTCCCTGATGATCATTTTATTTTAATTATCCCTCAAAATTAGTGCCTGGGAAGTCCTGGTAGGAATGTTCTGAAATGCTGATGAGAATTTTTGTAATAAAAAGGATGCTTTTTGAAGCCTAGAGCCCTTTGGACAGTGGGTTGAAGGAGCTGGTAAGTATTCTGGAATGTAGCTGCAAGCTAGATCTGGCTACAGAATCACATTTCTCTCAGTTCATATAGTTAGGAATACGTGGTACTGAGTTAGATGTGCTGTAAGAGAAAATGCCCATTTAAAGTCAGGACTGGGTTTTACAGGCACAGTATTCAATTGGACAGCATTCACTTTAGCTTTTCAACCTGAAGCAAAATTAAAACAAGTGAAGCAGAGTGCACAGGTTTTCTGCTAGTTTGGTGAGGCAAGGCCATGTCTGGTTTCTGAGAACTGCAAGAGCGCAGAGCGGCGTCACCGTCGTTAGTGGGGACTGGCTCTGCTCTGTGGCTGCAGATGGTAGACAGCAAAGAGGCTCCGTTTCTGCTCCTGAAAGAGATGCAGATTTTTATTAAAAAGTGTTTTAGCAAAATGTTTATAGTTTCTTTTGAAAACATTTCAGAGACTTTTAAAACCATAAATGGAAAGATTGTTTTGGTAGCATTAAGATAAATACTACTGTGCTTCTGATTTAGATATTTAACTTCAACTTACTCTTAACTAAATATTTTAACTTAAAACTTAGAAACTCTTTTGGTAAGCGAGCCTTGTGTGCTGTTTATGAAGCGAGTGAGGCTCAAGTGTGGCGCCCTGTGAGGGCGGCTGGGTTGCACGGAGCGGGACCTGGGCCTTGGGGTCAGTCAGACCCAGTTTGAGCCCCGACTGCCACTCTCAGGCTGGCAGGCCTGGGAGTTACTTCACTTCTCTGGGTTTCAGGTCCCCTCTCCGAAAGTGCTTGCTCGTTGGGTTATTGTAAGCATTGAGCAAAACATATAAACTGATCAGAACTGAGTGAAGATGATAAATGCTTTGTTGTCTTATCTTCTGTCCAAAAAAACGACCCTGGGCATTTACTGTTTCTCAGTGCGCTTAAATACTAAGGGGTTAAAATCTTATGAACCTCCATTTGCAGTAAAGCATCTCCAGTCCTCAGAGGAAGCAGCGGTCTTGGACGTGGTGATGAAAAGAAGGGAGATTAGGAGACACTGTGTCCACAGGAGTGAAAGCCCACAGGACCCCTCCCCAGCCCTCTCTCCGTGAGGTCCTCCTCCTCTTCGCCTTTCTGGGAGTGGGCTGTGTGAGCATGTACCTCCCTGGAACCAGGAAGCGAGCGTTCAGTTATGTATTCTGCCGTCTGCTCCTGGGAGTTAGGAATTAAATGAAATTTCTGCAAAAGTGACATACAAGGATTAAATTTGTGTCTCTGAAAATTCTTCAGGAATTGTTGGTGCAGTGATGGGAGAGAGAAATAGAAAACAGGTAGAATGTTAGCGTAAAATTGTAAGTCTTCTTTATTTGCTCCTCTCTCCTTCTCCCTCTTTTTTGGGGGAGTTGATCGTCTAGGGTTGGGTTGAACGTGTGGAAAGAGAGTGGGGTGTACAATTTTGAGGAAAGCTTCTATTTTCCCCATGGAAGTGAGGATCTGTCCTGAAGATGACATTTAAAGCAATTCTGACGTTCAAGTTTCCTAAAATGTTGAGGCCTTTAAAGGGAAGCGCTGGCAGGTTTGTGCTGTTTCTGCTCTCTTCTGTGCTATTACTTTAATGACTGTTGGTGTCCCAGCTAAAGTGTAAGTGCAGCGTTTCCCTGGGGTGGCGGGGGGTGGGTACCTCTGGGCCTCCTCCGCGTGGCGCGGGACAGAGTGGTGGGGGGGGGGCGGACGGAGGTCATGCTCTGGGAGCGAGTCTAGAGAGAGGAGAGTGCTCTGGCTGGCACCCCGGATGCGGCAGGATGCACTGCCTCTGTGCCCGCCTGAGGCCTGTGAACAGTGAGAGTGCCCACTCTGTGCACAGGGCAGACCCCTCTTCTGAAGTGTAAGTCAGTGAACTGAGACAAGGGTCATGGTTAGCTGGTGGCTTCTGTCGTCATTCACCGTTTTTTATTCTGGGATGTGAGCCTGTCGCCTCTTTCCTGCTGCCATGCATTTGTTGAAGTCCTAAAGCTGCCACACTTATGGGTGGATTATATTTATACTTAGATATACTTTTTAAGGATTGATTTAAGTGTTTAGAAGTTTCAAAGTCTGTATTCGCAGTCTTCCGATTCTTGTGTTAGTTTGAAATCTGAGTATGAGTCTTGTGACTGCGTGTATGGAACCACCGGTTTTGTAGAATTAACGCTGACGTTTCCTTTTGCATTATCCTATCATGGTAGATATCATATGTTCATGGCTGCCTACTTTGAATGCATTATGGGTTTGGTAATTTAGTCTGTAAAATGACTTAGGTTTTTTCCAGCACTTTAATTGTTACTTTTTGCTCAGCTCCATGATAGTTCTCTTTATGTGTGTTCCTTTTGTTGCTGTCTTGCAGCCCACAGAGTCATTTCAGTAAATACGGAGGAGATGCACTGTGTGAGGATTGCTAGCATCAGTAGAAATTAAGCTGAAAGAGCCATTGTTTTGTCAAAATAGCTGTCACCAGCTGTTTTGTTTTATTATGGTGCTGAATTAAAAAAAGAAAACTAAAAAATACAACGATCTGTGAAGTTTTATAAAGTTCTTTTTCCTTTTTTAACTATGTACATGTTCTGGCATTATAAAAATGTCATGCAGATATTAAAAGAACTTACTTTTGCTTGCAAAAATTACACTTAAATTTTTATTTATTTTATTTTTTATTTATTTTGTTTTTTTGAGGAAGATTAGCCCTGAGCTAACATCTGCTGCCAATCCTCCTCTGTTTGCTGAGGAAGACTGGCCCTGAGCTAACGTCTGTGCCCATCTTCCTCTACTTTATACGTGGGACGCCTGCCACAGCATGGCTTTTTGCCAAGTGGTGCCATGTCCGCACCCAGGATCCGAACCGGCGAACCCCTGGGCCACTGAAGCAGAACGTGTGTACTTAACCACTGCGCCACTGGGCTGGCCCCTACACTTAAATTTTTAGTTGTAAGCGTTTTTGCCAGGGGTGATGAGGATAATTTGCTGTTTTGTTAATTTTTCTCTGCCCGTAACTATGGTTATGAAGTTTCAGATACAGTCCTGATGTATCAAAAATGACCTGAATAGACTTTTCGTGGATTTTTCTTGTGATGGAAAAGGTCCTCCATGGATTAAATATGCTGTTAGTACCATAAAGTTTCATTTTTAGAGGACTGTTCACCACGTAGAGAAATGCTGGTAAAATATAAATTTCTCCTGCTTAAATCCATCATTTCACTCTCTTCATGCTTCAGGGACTGTAGAGTGAGTGATTTGGAGAGGTGAGCATTTCTGAGTAAGAACGCGTGAGGAGTGTGGGTGGGTGCAGTGAGCGTGAATGACAAAGCACGGGCCAGACAAGACACGGCAACTCTGTGCCCGCTTCTGGGTCTAGCTGCCCTGCAAGCAATGAGAGTGGAGGCAGTGGCCTTCACTGGGCATCCTCATCTGTAAATATGCATCAGAATACCTGTGTCCCAGGCCCAGAGTGTGGTGTGCGGGAATTATGCACAGAGCTTCTGCTCTGATGCCAGCACAGGGTGCTTGTTCAGTAATGGTTGCTCCCTTCTCCCCGTCCTCCTTCCTGGGGCGCTCTCCTGCCCGCAGCGCTCACTCCTCCGAAGCTGAGCAGCGGAGAGTGCTGAGGGGAGGTGGGAGAGGAGGCGGTGGGTGAGAGTCAGTCTTGGAGTAATCCTCGGTTACCCACTCATCTCTCGTGGGAAGGAGTCGATGCCGAGAAAGGAAAAGGCAAAATGATGATAAGATGTGTAACTGTGCAAACAGGTACTCAAGGATACTGCTCATGGCTTTTAAATCACCTCTGGGGTAGACACTGGATTTATCCCCAGCAAGGTCCTGCAATATCAGTGTTCCTTGTTTCAGTGATCCTGAGAAAACCATTCTTAGAAAGCTCAAAGTTAGATACACAGAAATGTTGGTTATGTGTTGCTTACAAGTACACACACACCACTCCAGAACCAGTTCAACAGCTTCTCTGGTAATATATCTTAGATGGCATCACCTGTCTTACAGGGCTTCCTATAGGATTGAAGCCTTGTTTCTTAAAGAAATGAGAAATGTTTAGTATATGGAAGTTTTTAAACTAGGATTATGTGAGATTTTTCCCCTTTTTTGTAATTTGCTTTGATTTTGATAATATCTCCTAAATGTATATATAAATATTTATGTAAAAGGTTGACTTTTTGAAATCCGTATGTGCATATGTATAGATGATAGAGGTTGGTAGTCGGGTAGCAGGTCCTGTTAGCCACATTATTACTGTGTTTGTGCAGCCCAGGAATGCACTTTGACTTCAAATGCAGCACACACTGCTTAACCAGGCCACCTGAGTTTAGATGAAGCGGTCTTGTAAAGGGTTCTTACATGCTTAAGAAGTGTAAGGCTAATTTCCTACTGATCCATTAATTTGTTTTCATCCTGATGTTTGAAACCTTGTATTTCTAGGTTGGTTTAGTTCAGTGAAATGCTCTTCCCGTTAGATGCATTAGCAGAGTCGGTGTGAAATCAGCTGGGGATGGGCGAAGACGTGGGGAGTGCCGACACCGACTCTGGTTCTCACACGCCGACGTGAAGTCATGTTAGGTTGAACTGTAGGAAGCTGTCATAGCCACCACTTTTGAACTGGCAATTTCAAGTCGTCTAGCCTGAGTGTTGTATGTGTTTTCACTAGGAGCCCTTAGTGTGCCTGGTGTTCCCAAGAAGCTCGGGCAGGGGCCTGAATATGGCTGGGGTAGGGGAGGGCTGCAGAGAGGACGCAGTGGCTGGGTCCCTGTGGTCAGATTCAGGTAACCTGCACTGGGATCTGATGTGCTCAGCTGTTTGTCAGAATTTTCGTCCTTATTTTACAACTTCTTTTATGGTGCTTTTCCCAGTAGGTGACGTGGGGGCTCAAAGGTTGCCCTGCTCTTCCCGGTGGGCGACCTGAGCTGATGCCTCTTCTCCCAGCCTGTTTGTCCCTCAGTTCCTGCAGCACCAGTGAGGAACTCAGACTTGATCCCTGGCAGAGGCCCTAAACATCTGTCCTGCAGTGCAGAGACAGAAACGCACAGTTGCGGTCACTGACCTGAGTCATGACTGTGTCAGTGACAGAGCGTGACTCCCACAGCACACTCCTGGCCTCCCTGGGGCCATTCTAAACGCCATGGCTGTTGGATTGGAACTCTCAGGGCAGGCACAGTGTGCATGGTAGCAGAGGTCTCAGGGCATCGTTGGTTGTAAAGGTTAGATGAGAAATAGTCAAGTTGAGGGTGAAAGAGTAGTAAAATGTTAAAAACTTGTTTTTAAGCTGCTTTAGTTTCTGAATACATATCAGTTTCCTCATCTGCAAATGCAGGTAACTTTCTTTGCATATTGTGAGGATTAAATGAAATGAGGATGGGAAACGCTTTTGAAATTTTGAAGCCCATTAGGTGTTAGTTTATTGTGCCACCTGTGCATTCGGAAGGTCAGGAGGCCTCGCTTGTTCTTTCAGGACGCCTTAGGGTGCAGCCACGCTTGGGGTGTTTGGTGGCATAGTAATGCCCCGATTCAGGTTGTTGTAGTTTCAGAGCATCCTTTACTTAGTTTTTGCCATCTTGAAGTTTCCAGATAATTGAAGTTATTCTAGCTGTAGGAACGCACGCTTGCTTTTGGACACTTCGATGTGAAGTTGACTTGCTGGGATGATCTTTTGTGAATGGAATGGCGCACACCACGTGTGTTCTCTATCGTGCACAATCGTTTTTGCTCATAAGGAGAGCAGTAACGTGAACCTCCTGGGGGTTCTCCCCTACAGTGTTTTGAAATAACTGGCACATGTTCGGCTTTAATAGTAATGCTGTAGCCTTCAAAATATTAGAGATGCCTGTTGTATTTCATAGTCCTTGTCATTGCTCATGGGAATGAGAGTGCGTCGTGTCTCTGAACCCTCACATGGCGTCTTCTTCTCTCGGTGCGTGACTGCTCGTGGCTCAGTGAGGAGTTGGGAGAGTTCATGGAGATGAAAGGTGCCAACAGCCCGGGGATTCTTGTGCTGACCACTGGCCTCAGCAAGCCGTTCATGCGCCTGGATAAGTACCCCACGCTGCTCAAGGAGCTCGAGAGACACATGGAGGTACTGCTTATCGCTTGTCTGTCCTTGGTGTCCATTGGCCAATGTCAAAGAGATTATTATTAATGACTTATTTTAGAAGCCAGAACCAACGAAAAGAGTTTACCAAGGGCTTTTAATTCAGTGGGTTTTCAAAATGGTTTTAAGTACTAAGTTTTTTCTCCTTATCCCAGCTCTATAAAGAATCATTTGCTCCTTTATCTCCTCTCTTACCCACTGTTGCTAATAGAAAAATTTCCAAAAGCTGGAAAATGTTAAATTGATTTTTAAATAGCCTGTGATGTCATTTCAGAAACACTTAGCTCCAAGTGTTAAGCGTATCTCTTATGGAGTAGTAACAGTAAAAGAATCACTTAATTAATGATACATATTTACCTTATTCTTGAATGACAGTCTGCGGCCTGGCAGGAATTTAGATTCGAGTTACTGTCTTGGCGAAGGGGCAGTGAACTCTTCCCGTGAAGGGCAGGCCGTCTGGTCTCCTCCACAGCTGCCCACCTCTGCCGTTCCGGTGCCAAAGCGGCAGAGGCCGTGTGTGAGGAGTGGGCGTGGCGGGGCGCCCTCTCCATTCTCCACCACACACGTCGGGGTGCTGCTCTGGGTTTCTCTTCCAAATTATTGTTTCCCTGAAACTCCATGATTCCCTTAAAGAATAAGAAACAACACTTAATGATGAGAAAAACAGGACATGTTATGGGTTCAAATGTATTGGAAAGGTTTCAAGTTTTTAAGAAAAAACTTTTCATTTGTGAAAACTAATAGTGTGTTTCTTTTATTCAAAGGATTATCATCCAGATAGACAAGATATTCAGAAATCCATGACTGCCTTCAAAAACCTTTCAGTAAGTGATCGAGCATGTTATGTTCTTTTCCCCAGACATTATTATGGCAAAGGAATGTAGAAAAATTGTTTATCATCTAAAAATGTTAGGTGATTAAAAAAAATCACTTGTGAAGTATAATTCGAGTTTACTCTGATGAAAGAAAAATAAATATATAGTAGTTATTCCATGGCTGGTAATTTCTCATGCCTTACTGGACTGTGGATATCAGGGAAATGAAATAGTTGTTTAAATTTTAAAAAGGCACCACCTAATTGATGCCTAACTACTTAAAAATGATGTAGAGCCTGGTTTTCCCCTCCAGTTACAGTGTCTCTAGTGATCAGAGTGTGAAGTGGACTACTGGTGGGTCTGTTTTCTTTGCTGTCACGCTGCCTTACTGGTTGTGTTTCTGAAACATGCACCTTATTTATGGCACACGTGGTACTTTCTCTTTTCCCCTCTGTTCCCAGTCATCTATGTTGGCAGACAGTAATAAAATCAGAAAGAAAATCTTTTCCTTAGCCAGTCTACATTTCTTCTTCCTAAAAGTGCTAAGATCTGCTATATTTTCCTGAAATAGTGTTTATTACTCCAGAGTGGTTGTATGTTTGCCTCTCTTGACTCGATTTCATCCTTGTGAATTAAGCAAATCATTCAGTAGATTCTCTGTCTCAAGAAGAAGTAAGACACAAAGCAGTATGGTCCAAACTTAGGATTCTGGAAGTCTGTGTCTCTTTTAACAGTGCTCTTCTGTGTCTCTCAGGCCCAGTGTCAAGAAGTACGGAAAAGGAAAGAGCTGGAGTTGCAGATCCTGACAGAAGCCATCCGGAGCTGGGAGGGAGATGACATTAAGACCCTGGGCAATGTCGTTTACATGTCCCAGGTCATGATTCAGTGTGCCGGAAGTGAGGTACTGCTGTGCGAGTGCGCCGTGGGGGTTCCCTCCCACGTTGCAGAGTGGGTGGACGGGGAGGGGAGGGAGCCCATATGCTCCTGGACTAACTTTGTTCTTGTTCCAGTGTCTAAATTGTTTTCCCTGGAACCATTAAAATACCTTGGGTAAAAATTGAGTTGAGTTGAACATAGTTTGTATTAAATATAATTTATGTTTTCTAAATGCTTTCTAATGTTCCTCACTGACAGTCAAGATTGTAAATACTTTAGAATGTTATGTTTTTCTAGTGGTGTAATACAAGTTTTTAAAGGAATATGAACAATGACCATATTTAATAGGACTCTTACATCATAATTTGTCGTCTGCCTTTTATCTTTGCCCATACAAAAGTGGCTTCTGGTACAAGAGAGGCTTAGCTGATGTGGACTACTTGACCAGTTTAGATCCAGCCAACATCAGTTATGATCAGAATCAGCATCAGTTGAAAGGCGGTGTCCAGACAGGACTTCGCGTCCCTTATTAGGAGTCCCGTTTTATGAGTGTCTGCCACAGAGTGGTGTGCCCATCTGCCCAGCGCTGCCCCTCCAGGCAATCCGCTGTTTTCCATGGTTTAGAGCATCGTGCTTTACTGTTCCGTGTACACATTGGCATTTGCTTATGAGAATCACAGTTAGCGTATGGGTTTGGTTTAAGTGAGGGGGGAGTCCAGATTGCTGTGATAGCCCCATGCAGTTGAAAATCGAGTAGGTTGTGTTTCACTGTCACATGAATTATATGTTCATTGGGTCCCTCACCTAGTGCCTCTTTGAATTTTATCCTACTTTGTAAAAAATAATTAACCTGTTCAAAACCTGCTAATGACCCGTTTTCAAACCTGAAACTCTTAGGACAGGAAGAAAACAGAAACTTATACTCGCTATCAGTGTTCTTTTCCTGCCTATAAAATTTGAAGATGATATTGCTGCTCTAGGTACTAGTTTGAGTGCCATAAGAAATCATGACTTTCTAGTCTATTGCACTGATGAAAAAACCCCAAATCTTTCCAGAAACAGTTTTTTGTTTTGAGGAAGATTAGCCCTGAGATAAAATCTGCCACTAATCCTCCTCTTTTTGGTGAGGAAGACTGGCCCTGAGCTAACATCTGTGCCCATCTTCCTCTACTTTATATGTGGGACGCCTGCCATAGCATGGCTTGATGAGCAGTGCGTGGGTCCGTGCCTGGGATCCAAACAGGCGAACCCAACAGCACCAAAATGGAATGTGCAAACTTAACTGCTGTGCCACCGGGCCAGCCCCAACAGTTTGTTTTTTAATTATAAACTTTTGAATTTTATTTAAAAATCTATGGAAATGTTTCCCGAAGTGTTTTTTTTTAATACTTGATCTAAAAAGTGTAAATAGGTGTTGCTTAAAAAATAATTCAAGGTTGTTATGCTCATGACTGGAGAGATGGTATGTCGGCGCCCCATCTCCATGGGTTCCACAGCTGTGGGTTCGGCCAGCCACGGATGGAAAGGCCTGCAATGGTTGCGTCTGTCCTGAACAAGTGTGGCCATTTTTTTCTTCTTATTCCCTAACAATACAGTATAACAACTATTTACATGGCATTTACGTTGTCTTAAGTATTATAAGTAATCTAGAGATGACTTACATATACGGGGAGGATGTGTGTAGGTTATATGCAAATTCTAAGCCGTGTTCTATAAGGCACTTGAGCATCCATGGATTTTGGATTGGTGGGGATCCTGGAACCAACCCCCACAGGTACCGAGGGACAACTGTAATCAGTTGTGAAGACTTCTCTGTGACAGGGCTTCTCAGAGCCTGTGCTCTGCATCTTCACGATGCATGTTATGCGACTTCCAGAGGGGAATAGAATAAGTAGTTTTCAACAGCCTCTTTAAAGTGAGTACCGTCTTTCTCTAGTCACTTGCACATGCATGGCTGGCTTCTGAGGAGTCTGCTGGGGACCTGCTTCCTAGTGTCCCCTCACTTTTGTGGGCAGTGGTTGGATGGCAGCTTGCGAGGGCTGACGGCATTGCTGTCTGTCTCCTTTTAGGTTCTTGAAAATTTTTGTCCTTCAGTTGTGGTCTCCCTGGGGCTTTTCTTACTTTATTGAAGTGAGTGATTTTTAATACATAAATAATGCTTTTAAGTTTTTCATGTAAGGTAAAGTTTACCGGATGGGTGCAAACAACATTGAATTGACACATGAGGGTTTTAGGGAAATGCAGGAATTATTAATAGACCAAAATCGATTTTAGCCTTTTATTCTACCCTCCTTAGCATAAAGGGTCCACCCTCTCCCACTAAAATTTTATAAGTTCATTTTCTCTATTTTCTTTCAACCACAAAAAGAAATTTTAGACTAATTAAAAAGAATTAATGGCAGAGCTGGACTCCTTAACCAAATTTTTAAAAAAGATGTCACGTGGGCTATTTGTGAGTCTAAGAATTTACTGTAATTTTGTTTCCATTTCATTTAGCTGATAAAATTTGGTAGGGAGAAATACCTAAACATGAAAGATAATCTTTCATAAGGCCTAATATAATCTTCTCACATCTGTAAGTGTATATTTTTTAAAAGTTATTTGGATTTGTTTGTTCCTTTACATTAGGAAAAGAATGAAAGATATCTTCTACTCTTCCCGAACATTTTGCTAATGTTGTCTGCCAGTCCTAGGATGAGTGGTTTTATCTATCAGGTAAAACACATTTTAAATTTATATTTTATTATTTATTGTGGATCTGAGAATCATTTCCAGACTTACTTTGAATTTTTGCATCACATACTACATGTATCTACTTGTGCGTTAGTGTATAGTGTTGTTTCTATAGTGTTATATGTTTGAATAGGTACACACCGCTCCTGCCTGTGTGTTTTGATGTGGCCGTGCAAGCAGATGCTTGTGTTAATCCTAAGCAAAAAAGCTGCAAACAGGTGAAATTTGTAGAGCTGCCTCCAAAGGATGTGACTGCTGAGGTGCAAGGCCAGCCCATCACCACCTGAAGTCGTGTCTTCTCTCCTGGCCACTGTGGTGCCAGCGTGGGCGCCGCAGCGCTGGGCTGAGTGGGCGGCGCAGGCTGAGCTGTTGTGCGTGGTGCGGCCCGCAGACGGCGGCAGGTGTGGGCGGTGTGAGTCTTGGGGAGTGATCATTTAACCTTTTTGTTCTCTGATTTTCTGTGAGAAGTTGTGAGAGCTGAGTTAAGAAGAAAATGCAAGGAGAGACCTCTGTTTTTCTACACTGATTTAAAGTGGTGGTTTTAAGTAGATTATGGATTCTCTGCCTGTCTAGTAGTTGCTTCTGGCAAGGTCTCACTGCTTTTTTTCTGTGTGGTTATAGAAGCTAATGCCTCCCCATCCATTTTTTAAGGCCTGGCCGGTCACCAGATGCTGCTTCAACAGAAGTCACTACTTTGTTGTCTCCGAGTTGCATTTTTTCAGAACATAGTATGTTGTTTTGTGTTGTCTCCCACAAAAACACTAGTGAATCTTGAGTCAGAAGTGTCCACAGCGTGTTTCTCCTTCCACAGAAGCTTTGTCTGCCACCCACAGGAGAGCTGTCCATCACACGGTTATTCCAAAGGGGCAGTTTAAAACCGATAAAGCGAGTGTATGTGGACAAACCCAGAAAAATAATGCCTCTTAACTGATAAGCCTGCTGCTGAGCAGACATCTGTGGCTGAGAGAATGCCTGCCCGGGTTCTCCCTAACTGGCATCCCCACTTTGTTAAACGACCCTGATGAACGAAAGGCGGAGTCCTTTTCCGTCTGCACTCTTGTGTTTTACACTCAGAGGCTGAGGCGGGCCCTGCTGTGACCTGAGGGAGCAGAGGGTGTCATCTGGGGCAGGCTCGGGCCCCCAGCAATGTGGCTGGTCCACACGCCACATTGGCCCTGGATGCTGGTGTTGATGTGCCGTGGGAGATGTCACACCACCAACAGGACCCTGTTTTCCCACTTTTTGCACAGTTTCCTGGGAGATTTCTTCTTCTCAGTGCTGTGACCTATGGTCTGTGTATTGTCAGTATTCATTTCCGGCTTTGAGGGGCAGTAAAAAGCATTAAGTGCAGCAACAGTGGGAACGTTCTGTCCACTGCTGTAGATGTGCTTGGTTACACTCAGCTGTGTAGTTTTATTTTCTGTAGGACTTCTCAGAGCTGCTGGTACACCTCCGTGTGTTAGGAATCCTGGAAAGGAGTGTGCAGTATACAGCAATTCTCAAATACTTCTGACCATGGAAGTGCCAAGCGCTGTCTACTATCCTGCTTCCCAAACCTCGGGACAGGCTTTCTCGGCCTGGGAACTGTTGACACGGTAGACAGGATGATTCTTTGCGCGGGAGGGGCGAGGACGCTGTCCCATATGCTGTAGGACATTCAGCAGCCCCTCTGGCCTCTGCCTGCTAGCTGTGAGGAGCAGCCGCCCAGCTGTGGCATTGACCGTGTTCCCTGTGGGGCAGAACCCCTTTCCTTGCTGGGAACCGCTGCTTTCAGAGGTGCTGAGAGAGACTTGCTTCTCCGCAAGAGACTTGGCCCCAAACGCTGAAAGACTTTTCCTAAGACTTGGTCTGCCACCAGGTGCCGTGGTGTTTATGGGCAGTGTTTTAGCGCTGTGCTGTTTGTGGTGGTCCGTTTGTGGCCCTTTCCTGGTATTTCTCCATTGACGTCTCCCACCCTGTTGCCAGAGTGGACAGCTTGGCTGCTGTTTTCTGGTGTCAGCTCCCAGCACAGCCCCTGCTTCCTGTCTGGCGGATAACCAAGAATAACCACGGTGCAGTTCCTCTTGCTCCAATTTCCCCCTTATTTTGTCTTCAGACGCGGAACTTCCTCTGCATTTCTCTGTGAGGCAAATCAGTGCTTCCTTTGCATAAGCACGTGGTTTAAAATAGCTGCCGTAGACTCTAGGTTTTTTAATCATCATGTGTAATGTTTTTGTGTCCTGGTGTTTATATTTAGAGTAACTTATCAGATGAAATCTATCTGCTAGTGTGCTGCTCTGTGCCTTTTTGCTGGCTCACTTTCTTGATTATAATATTACGATTTATTTGAGATGGAGGTTTTTGTATTATATGTGCATCTGGTACAAATAAAAGAACTTTTTTGGTTTACAAACACAATTCCTTTGCCATTTCTAAAATCATTTGATAATTTAATAACAGTTCCTTCTTTACTAGAAAAGCACTAATTGTTTTTTTTTTGTGGGGGGGGTCTTTTTTAGGGAAAGCTACCAACGACAGGAATGACAATCACAAAGCTTGAGGACAGTGAAAATCATAGAAATGCATTTGAAATATCAGGTGATAGGCACAAACTCTGTGGATGCTATCTGTCACGGGCTGAGAGGCAGCTGCCGTTGTGTGCACATTCTTGCTTGACTCTTTCAGAGGGCTGATGTTTAAGCATTGTTGAGTTATACTCTGGGTGTGTGTATGTGCATGTGTGTGCTTTCTACCTGTTTTCCCATTTCAGCCTATTTTGTCTTACCTCTTCTAGGGAGCATGATTGAGCGGATATTAGTGTCATGCAACAACCAGCAAGATCTTCATGAATGGGTGGACCATCTACAGAAGCAAACGAAAGTCACATCTGTCGGCAACCCCACCGCTAAGCCGCACTCTGTGCCGTCTCATACCGTAAGGACTCCTGTGCTTCCCCCACCTGCAGACTCCAGGGTCTGCCTTTGGTTGAGCTATCAGCCAGTGACAAGTACTTTAAAGCATAATCAATATCTAGATCAAGAATGTGAAATACTTGCCTGTATCTCTCTGCAAATATTTGCTTAGTTCCATCGAATAGTGAGTGGCTTCACAGTGATTGCTCTTGTGAAACAGCCCTAAGGTGTGCTGCCTCACACACAGTCCTTGTACTCGTGTAGGAAGCTGCCTCTCTGCTCAGAGTGGCCTCGAAGACCGACTTAGGGGGTTTTCAACTAAAACTCCGAGAGCCACTGGTCCATAGGTGGGTTTTCTGAGAATTTTACCTGTTATTTATTTGTTTCATCAAAAAACAAAACAAAAATAGATGATTATGATGATGGAAAGGACCAGATTCATATTGAAGGCATTAAAATGAAATTTTTGACTTTTAAGAAATCTGTTTATTTTCTGCCTAGAAAAGCTCAATAGCTCTTTGGCTTTTTAGACACTTAAGCATTTCAAAACAGATCAACACCAATGTGTCAGTGTCGAAAACTTCTCTTTATTGGTGTTTTATTCTTAAGATATTGGTATCGAATCATTTGAACATCGATCATCTTTATTAAACAGTATTGAAGAACCAGGCACACCTTTTTAAGAATGACTTATGATCCACAGCGTTGCTAGTTGGTAGGATTTTCTCACATCCTCATTAGACTGCTGTGGTCTCTGCTAGGACATTTCGACCATGGAGCTAGCTCCCTGCTGTGTTTGTTATCCGGGGTGAAAGTTTTAGCTCAGGAAGGGTGGCTGTGGCGTAAAGGGTTCATCAGTTTCATTGTCTGTCTCAATTTCTCTCACCGGTTTGGGAGGTTAAAACTACTCAAATGTTAGCTTTAGCTAGCATTTCATTTTGAAGGATTCTGCCATTTATAATTTCTCTATACTTTAAAAAACATTAAATGTGCTTTGTTTTCATGGAACTAAAGAAAAATGGAAGTGCTTTTTCATTCAGATTGTAACAGCCTGAAACAAAACTTTATAAAATTTCATGTCAAGTAAAACTTTCCTCTGTATCTGGCCCCTGGTGCCTCACGTTCCTTTTCCTGTCACCCGGTGGCAAGGGAGGCGCCCTGTCAGCAGGGAGGGGTCAGCCCCGCCGCGCGGAGGGCATTGTTCCCACGTGCAGGCTTTCGAAACGTCATGCATTCTCCTTGGGGATTGCTCCGTCGGGGAGTCTGTGCCCTCCCTGTGGCCTGGCTGTCCCAGCCTGGTGATGCTCTCATTTTAGCAGAAAGCACACCTCTCTCTGCTTGCTCAAGTGAGGTGAAACAGAACCAGATATTACTTACAACGGCATTGCTGAAAGGGATGTTTTGCATGATCATCTTCTTTTGTGAATTATTCCATTTAAAAAAATTATTTTGTAGTTGTGTAGCCAGTTGCAAGACACACATGTGCACACACAGACACATGCACACACCAGCACGGGCATGTGATTACTGCAGAGAGTTTGTGGCTGCAGTTCCTGAGTGCGGTGGCTGAGCCATGCCGGGCTTCCCGGTGCCACGTGTTTCACTTGTCCAGTTTCGTGAATGACGGCTTCGCTCAGGTCTCCTGCTCGGAGAACCACTCAGCTCTTTCTCCTGTTAAGCATACCTTGTTTTGGGCTAATTTGAGGTGATTGGCTAATTTTGAATGTTACTTATTTTATTTAACGTTTTCTCATTTAGTTGTCAGTGTGGTGGGACTGTTAGGGTTTCCAGGAATATAAACCCCATTTATAAAGTCCTTCTGATCTATTTAGCTTTGTTTTGATTAAAGCTGATTTTTCTGAGAAAATAACTTGTTTTATCCTAGGGATTTGTAAAATTTTTCTGTAGAGAGACAGCTAGTAAATATTTTCAGCTTTGTAGGCAGTATGGTTTCTGTTGCAACTGTACTTTGTTTTTGTAACAAAAAAGCAGCCATTGACAAGAATAGACCTGGCTGTGTCCCAGGAAAACCTTTTTTTTTTTTTTTTAAATCAAAAACAGGCCTCAGGCCCTGGGTTTACCCACTCTACATCATACAGGACGGGGGAGAATTACCCTCCACTGTAACCATGTTCCCAGTACAGGGCGTCCCTTGTCCTTTATAGAATTCTGATACTTAGACTCAATGACGTGCCTGTTTGCAGATGTTACTCTGTGGTGCACAAACGTGGCAGTGGAGTGTCCGGGTCTTGGGCCCCCAGTATCCTCCTGCCTCCTGACCCAGGCCTGGCTGTGGCCTGAAGCAGGCGGTGGGGGCTCCACACTTGGCCCAGGCAGCCCAGAAATGGACTGCTTGGAGTCACAGATTCCAGAGAAATGATAGTACTGGGGTGATTTCACTGGGAATGTTTTTAAAAATTAGCAAAATTAAGTATATTTGGTTGAGGTTCCTTTGACAGTGAATGATCTGTTTCTGCTCTTTCCTACTCTTTTCCCTGGGCAGCTCCCCTCCCATCCGATCACCCCATCCAGCAAGCATGCTGACAGCAAGCCGGTGCCACTGACCCCTGCCTACCACACGCTGCCCCACCCCTCCCATCATGGCACTCCACACACCACCATCAACTGGGGGCCCCTGGAGCCTCCGAAGACCCCCAAGCCGTGGAGCCTGAGCTGCTTACGACCCGCACCTCCCCTCCGGCCCTCAGCCGCCCTCTGCTACAAGGAGGTGAGGTCCAGGTGACAGCTGGACATGTTGGGTTGGCCATATGTGCTTCATTTCAATGCGTTCAGAAATATGGAAAACCCCGTATTTCTATGTGTGACATAAAAATACAGATTAGCTTCTTTAGAACTGTGAAGGGTCTGCCTCCATTCTTTTGTCATCCCCTTCTGCTTTGGGGGTGTGGGAGGCCCATGGAGACCCTCGTGGGAGTGGCTTGGGCAGCATCAGGCCCCCTCTGTGTCATTCGTGGAGGAGCCTTTTCTGTGGCTCTGCCTTGGTTCCTGCCTCGGTTCCTGCCTCCTGGAGGCCAAGAAGCTGGAGGGCTCACCTGGGCTTCCTCTGGGCCTCTCACTGAGCCTGAAATCATTTTGAACTTCAGTGCGTGACTAGAAGTTCACTTATTTCTGCATGCTCTTCTGCTGCACCTTGTGACCCTTTTTCAAGTTTGGGATCTTGCCCAGAAACCCTACATTTTCTTACCAGAAGCTGTTTGAAATGAAGAGAACGTTCATAAATAGAAATGAAAGAAAATTAAGACAGTTCTCCTCTTTGCATAAAAAATCATAGTGCACTCTGCTCTTCACTCTAGTGTTTTTTTTAGATACTATGTACAGTTAAAATGCGATTCTTACCCATAAATAAGTGCTCCTGGTTTCCTGCACTTTCCTACTGGGTTTCATCCACTAAACCTGCTTTGATGAGGAAAGGAAGTGTCTTGAGAAATATGTTCTGAGAAATATTCGCACTTGAAGCAGCTGATAATTGAAATGAATGTGAAAAGTGGTTACCATGAGTACGAGCCTGAGTATGAGCGTGAGTATGGTTATTGTATGAATGTGAGTATGATTATGATGAGTGTGAGCGTGAGTATGGTTATTGTATGAATGTGAGTATGATTATCATGAGTGTGAGCGTGAGTATGGTTACTGTATGAATGTGAGTATGGTCATCATGAGTGTGAGCGTGAGTATGGTTATTGTATAAATGTGAGTATGATTATCATGAGTGTGAGCATGAGTATGGTTACTGTATGAATGTGAGTATGGTCATCATGAGTGTGAGCGTGAGTATGGTTACTGCAGCCGTGTGAGTGTGGTTATGGTGAGTGTGAGCGTGGTGATGTGTGGCCTGGCGTGTGTCTCCACATTCAGTCTAGGGCCACGTTTGCTGAAGGACCTAGAGCAGACCCTCCCTCCATCCTTGCTAGCAGCTCTAAGTATTTTAAGACACATAGAAAAGTACTACATAAATTACAGTCGGTTCTTTACATTTTTCGTTCTTAATGAATTTTGGTTTATGACATACATCTTGCTTGGGCACATATGCCCGAGTCAGAAATTTCTTCATCACGGGCAGTTGCTTGAAGAACATGGGTGTTCTTCATACCTGCATGTTTTCAGATCTGCAGGCCAGCTGGTGGGTGTTTCCTTAGTGGGGAGGAGAGCTGGCGTGACAGTGATGAGCAGAGGAGCAGAAGGGTGAGGGAGGGGGTGTGGCAGTGAGCGTAGGCATCTGGATTTGCAAGTCGGCTGCAGTTGCTTTGCTGGACCCCACGTTGGAGAAAAGGTCTCATGCTCTGTAATTGTTGGCGGTGTTGCCCAGCACCTACAAACACTTAGTGGAGGGTGATCTTGGAGTGTGGCAGGAGTGGAACACTGCCATGTGGCCGGCTTTCCCCTCCGGGAGCTGGGCGTGGCCTGTGTTTGCCTGCACACTCTGCGTGTGCGTGCTACGTCCAGCGTGCTGCCTGCTTCTCCCGTCTCTTCACTTTGAATTAGGGGAGCCACAGCGCACATGCCGCATTGATTTCTCTGGGAACTGACATCTGCTGCATTTCCAAGAGATTTAAGAATTTTTAATTTTATGGAAAACGTTTTGAGGAGATACCTTTAAACATCGAACTCTGTTCCATCTGTGCTTTCAGTTTCATTCATCCCACAGCCCAAGTCACCTTCTCAGTCGCGGCTTCTCTCTAAATGCATGGACGGGCTGTGATTTAAATGATGCCCGAGACAGCCTTTTATGATGTCGATGTTCAGCACATGCTTGGCAGTCAGACTTTGGCCCCCAGCTGTGGGGGGCTTCGTCCTGCTCTGTTGCTCACCTTCTTCTTCGGCACGGGTTTAGGAGTTGGACAGTGGAGGTCAGGGGAGACCTTCCTGCTGTGCCCGGAGCTCTGAAGTGGCGTGAATGCACCGTCGAGAGAGCTGGTGCTCTGTCTTCTGCTCGCCTGTGCACTCAAGGCCCACAGGCTGATCTGATGCCCTTTTCCTCTCCCTTGAGGCTTCAAATATTTTCCTAAAGAAGTCATTCTTTACTTACCTTTCCTTTAAAAATAGGCTTCATCTCCTCAGGTCTTTCTAGTTAGCTGTGGCAGATGGGTCTGCTACCGAGTTAGCAGCGCGTGTGGATCCTGTGCACGCTCGGCCGGCGGTCCTTTCTTTCCCTGCACACGCTGCCGGCCTGCCTGTGCCCCCAGCACCGCTGCAGTGTCGTCATGGTGCCACCATCCCACCTGCGCCTGCAGCACTGCTGCCGTGTCATCACGGTGCCGCCGGCCCACCTGTGCCTGCAGCACCGCTGCTGTGTTGTCAGGGTGCTGCCGGATCCAAGGAACATGAGGGTTTATAGCAGAGTCAGTGCCCTGTTGGTTTGAAATTGACTCCCAGCGGCTGGCAAAGAAAAATCACGCTGAAAGTAGCAGGGAGCTCTTGACAGTGAGTGGTTGCAGTAAGCTGATGCTTGACACCTCCACAGCGACCCTTACTGAATTGCCAGTAAAAATTCATGCCTCTGGCGTTTGTCAGCATTTTCTTCCCTTTCCTTTTCCTAGGATCTCAGTAAGAGTCCCAAGACCATGAAAAAGCTGCTACCTAAGCGGAAGCCTGAGCGGAAGCCTTCGGACGAAGAGTTCGCGCTGAGGAAAAGTGAGTCTGTGCGGCGTGTGGATGAGGACACGGTCCGGTGCATCTCGCACAGGCCTGGCGCTCACTGGGGGGAGAGTTGGCTGGCGGCTCTCCGGAGACTGCAGGCAGAGGTCGGGGCTGAGCCCTAGTGTCGCTTCTCAAGGAGCCTGTTTGAGCAGCGGGAGCCGCAGACCGTCTGAGTGTGGAACCCTGCCGTCAGGAGGGATGCCCAGCGCCAGTGATGAAGCACACGAGTGGTGGCCCCTGATGGAGCTGTGTGCTGTCTCTCAGTCTCTGTGTTGATCACCTCACCTGGAGACCCACCAGGGGTGCAGGGTGGACCCAGGACACCTGCTCTGCCTGTCCCCCTTCACCCAGGTGTTTCCACGTGTCAAGGTTGCACCCCACACTGGTCTGTTGCTGGAGGTCTCTCTTCTGTCAGACTGATCTGACTGTTGTACCACCCCCGCTGCTCAGATGTAAACTTGAGAAACGCCACAGGCAGCATCGAATTCCGCTCCTGGTTCTTAGACAGCCTCTCACAAGGAGTGCCTCGCACACGGGAGATGCTCAGTTAATGGCGCGTGAATAAGTACAGCTATTTCTGGAAGCCAGTGATGGGGGAGAATCAGCTCACACACGTGCACACGCTCACCCACTTCTCTCCTGTGTCGAGCTCCTTCCCCCGTGTGGCAGGCAGGCAGGGTTCCATGTGGACAGACGGCTGTGGGGCTGTCTGGCACCGCAGGAGAGCCTTGAGAGGGACAGGTGCCTGGGAGGGGCCTCCGAGCAGTTGTGAGAGCTGCCTGCAAGGGCGCTGCCCCCCGCCCTGTCCCTCTCAGCCGGCTGCCCTCTGCGCCGTGCCCCTCGCTCGCCCCGGTTCTGTCCAGGCCTGACTGACTTCCTGGAGCATTGCTCCTCTTCTTCTTCATCCCCACTTGGGATCCTTCAGGGACTCGTTTCCAGAAGGAGGCGTATGGGAGAAACGTTTGTAGTCAGAACGTGAGTGTGGCTGACGTCACTGAGGAAGGGGCAGTGTGGTGCAGCAGCTGCACGTGAACCCGGAGCACAGGCAGCCTGCATGTGGGCGTGCTGCACCGCGTGTCACTTCGCATGGGGGGCGGTAAGCTGGAGAAGCGAAGGCAGTGACAGGCCTGGAGCTCTCTCCCTGCCCCGTCACCTGGCATACACTGCAAGGGTGCCTTGTATTTTGCCTTCCTAGCAGTCGTCTTCCTCAGATTACGAGCGTGCAGGGCAGTGCCGCGCTCCCAGGACACCTCGTGAGATGGCTGGTGAGGCCGTGCGTTTGGTGCGGAGACTCCGACCTGGAGCTGGACACCTGGCCCTCCCTTCCGAGCTGTGATTGGGGTGTTTGGTGGACCCCCTCGTTTGACAAGCATTTGTTGAGTGCCTTCTGTGTGAGGGCACTGGGCTAGGCATTGGGACAGGCTGCAGATGAGGGACCATTCCCTTCACAGGTCTTTATTTAGTGCTGCTGTGTGCCAGGTGCACAGCCGTGAACAGTGGAAACCCCTGCCCTATCGAGCTACGTTTTAGAAAGATACAGACGAGGGACCAGATAGGCAGATGGCAGATGTGCTGGTGTGACGTGCGGGGGGATGTGGTGTGGCTGTCTTAAACAGGATGGCTGGGGAGGTGTCTGAATAGTAGCCTGCGGGGCTGAGGAAGCCAGCTGAGCAGATGTCTGGGGAGAGCTCTCCCAGGTGCTGGCACCAGGCAGCTGCAGTCCGGTTGTGAACATGGGACTTCATGGGACTGGTTTTTGTTTTTTTTAGTGAGGAAGATTGGCCCTGAGCTAACATCTGTTGCCAATCCTCCTCTTTTTGCTGAGGAACAGTGGTCCTGAGCTAATATCCCTGCCCATCTTCCTCCACTTTGTATGTTGGATGCTGCCACAGCATGGCTTGATGAGTGGTGTGCAGGTCCACGCCAGGATCCAAACAGGTGCACCCTGGGCCACCAACGTGGAGCACGTGAACTTAACCACTACGCCACCGGGCTGGCCCTCATGGTACTGGTTTTCACTGGACCAGTGACCGCTGTGTTGAGGACAGAGGGCAGAGGTGGGAACAGGGAGGCCGGGGAATGCTATGCAGTAATCCAGGTGAGGATGACATGATGGTGGCTTGGGCCAGATGACAACAGAGCTGAAACATGGACTTCAGATTTCTTTGAAGCTGGAGCCTGCAGCAGTGGTTCTCAACTGGGGGCAACTTTGCTAAACACCCTGCAGCACACAGGACAGCTGCGCAGCAGAGAATCCTCTCACCCAGGTGTCATTATGCCGCGACTGAGATTTGTGGGCCCAGGGGCGGTGCTGTCGGACCGGATGCAGGGTGAGAGTGGGGCTTTCGGCCTGTGCACCTGAGGGTGGGTTACAGGTACTGTGAGGGTCACGGAGTCGCAGGCCTCAGCCCAGGGCCAGGCTGGGCTGCTGGGCGGAGTCCCAGAGTCGTTCTCCGTGCTTAGATGGTTTCTCAAGCCGTGAGACAGGACAGACGGAAGAAGAGACAGACAGAACCCGAGTCTGAGGACATGAGGGAGATGAGCAGCTGGCAGAGGAGACTTTGCAAGGGGGATTGGAATGTAAAGAGGAAACCAAGGGTTTTGCATGGATTGGAGGAGAAACTTGTGTGACCTCTGTGTGACTGTGTCTGTGCATGGTGAGTGCTCAGTACACGTGCCTGCTCCAGAGTCGCTCTGTGATCTCCTAGGTTACTTAACCTGTTACATTCAGAACCCTGGAACTGTCTCTGGGCCGTGGAGCTGTCTGTGCCTCACGGAAGACGTGTGCCGCCCTCTCCTGCATTTCCCTTCTCCAGCCTCTGTGATGAATGGCAGCCAGTGAGGGCTGTTCAGCCCCCCGTCCCAGGGAGCTAGCGCCCTCTCTGGCGCTGTGGTGCTTCCCCTGTGCTTTGGACGGTGCGAGTGTCCTTACCTGTGTCTCAGAACGGCCATCTGATCACATAACTTGGACGGGCCACCTCTGTCATAAAGGCTGTTTTCCTGCTGGCACAGAGGGAGTGGCCTGCCTGTCGGAGTTACCTGGCAACATGTCCTGAAAGTCAAACTAGTTAAGCGGTATCTTTTTTACTCCTGAAGGAGGAGCTTGTTACAGGAAACCTGTTGAAAGACTGCTCCCAGTTAGCAAAATTAGGGAAAAGGTCATTTTCTCAGTAGCTCTTAAACTCTTGGGACTAAAATGTATTTTTCAGTGGAGAATATTTGACTTGCCTGCAGCTGTCTATCTTACTATGATACAGTGATACTGAAGCTTTATGATACAGCTTATAAATATTTCAGCCTCCCATTCTTTCCATGTTTTTTTATTAGGGTATGTGAGCCTTTTAAAATATGTATTCAAGTAATATCTTAGAAAATCTAGAAAAACAGAAAACAGAGAAAGGGTTTAACCATACAGTGTATGAAGTATGCTGGGTGTGAGGCTCTGTGCCCAGTGCTAATACTGTTAGATGCTTTAGTCTGGAAGGTTCTATTCTCTGTGCCTGTGATCTCTGAGTATCAGTGAAGCCAGTGTCTGGAATAATCCACAGTTGAAGGAAGAGCTCCAGGTTGTGCTTTGTATGTTTCTTAGATTAAATCTCTAGTAGGAATATTGGTGGGTCAGAGGAAATGTGCTTTTCTTTTGTTGGAGGAAGATTAGCCCTGAACTAATATCCGCCTCCAATCCTCTTTTTGCTGGGGAAGACTGGCCCTGAGCTAACATCTCTGCCTATCTTCCTCTACTTTATATGTGGGATGCTGCCACAGCATGGCTTGGCAAGCAGTGTGCAGGTCTGTGCCCAGGATCTGAACTGGTGAACCCCAGGTCGCCGAAGCAGAGCACGGAAACTTATCGCTGTGCTGCCGGGCTGGCCCCTGGAAATGTGCTTTTTAAAGCCTTTGATAAATATGGTCAAGTCACGTCTTGGGAGGGTTGTGCCTGTCTTTATTCTCACCCGCTGTGGGTGGAGGGAAGGGTTTTCCTCTCCGCGGTCCACGTCAGCACTGAGAATTGTCAGGCTCATGTGGCTTTGACAGGCTGGTGTGTGAAGCCCTGGTGCTTTAATTTTCACTCCTTTTCTTATTGACTGTCTTCTTCTGGTGTGAACTGCTTGTTTCCAGTTCTTGCCCTTTTCTAGCTTCAGGATGGGGGATGCTGTTTCTGTTGTGGATAGTAAGACAACTATGTATTTGGGGCGTTAGCCCTCTACCAGATATGTTCTAGATAAAAAAAAACTTTTAAATAACTAAAAATCCTTTTGAATATAACTATTCTGTAAATATTGGAAAACAGTTATCGGACCAGAAAGTTGTCTTGTCCTCATTTTTGGTTGAATTGGTGACTTTGCACTCATCCAGTTAGTTCCGCTAGTTATTTTGGGTGGTGGCATGTTGTGCTCGGCGTCTGTAGCTTGGTCGTGATGTGTTGTATGTCTCTTGACAGGCACAGCTGCCTTGGAAGAAGATGCGCAGATCCTGAAAGTCATCGAAGCTTACTGCACAAGCGCCAAGACACGGCAGACGCTCAATTCAAGTAAGGGCCACAGGAATGTGCTGGGGGTCGTGGTGGTCATTTAGTTTCCCGCCAGTCTGAAGGAAAGTATGCTGCTGGGCCGTGTCGGCTCGGCAGTGTGCCTGACCCCAGTCCGCAGTGAGTGAGGCCTGGGGGCCTGGCATCCCTAACCCACGTAAGACACCCACTGAGCTGTCGTAAAATAGGCCGTTCTAGGGAACGTCCCGCTGGGAGGCCTTTCACTGTGAGGCGCTGCCAGAGTTGTACAGCTTTCTTTTGCTTACAGATGGTATGTGTGGAAGATAGCAGAAAATTCATTCAGTTCATTTATTCAAGCTATTTAAACTGTTGGTATGATAGTGGGATTTTTATTTTTCTATTAACTTCTTAGAATTATTGTCAAAAGTATAAACCTAGAGCAAAGGTTCTTTTAGCTCTTTTTTTTATGATTGCATTTTTAAACTTTTGGAAGTAGACAGCAACTAATTTATTTGCTAGATTTTAATGCCACTGAATTTACTGTCTTATGTGAAGAAGCCTTGATCACTGTGTGGGCATTGGAGAGGTGGGCTGGTCAGCTTGCCCCGCGCTGGAGAGTGGAGCACTGGAGAGTGGAGCATGCGTGGTGGCCGTGGGGTGCCGTGCTGTGGCCTGTTCGTCCCTGGCTGGTGCTGGGGCCATGGGCACCACAGGGCTCCTCCTGCATGTGGTGGGGTTGAGATTTTGTTTTTTTGAGAACTGGACGGTCTGTATGTTGCTTCTGGCATAAAAACTGGTTTCTGTTAGATCGTGTGTTTTTGGTTCCCTTTCCACCCTGACTCTTGGCCAGTCGCTTATCCCACCTTCATTTTCACCACCTGCATGTGGTGGTTCGAATCAGTGCATGTCCTGTTGTAAACTAGTGCTGAAAAAAAGGTGGGAAAGGAGTTTTCAGCTGCTGTAGCTTTTGTTAGGGGTGACTACATCTATGAAGCGAGGGCTCTGCAAATGATCTAGAAACTTCCTTATGGCCAGTATTTTACACAGTTGACCTATGACATTAAGGCTTTTTGTCCATACTCTCTCTGGTGAAAACGTCTAATCATAGTGACTGGTCAGCAGAGTGGGAGAGAGATGAGAGGCCTAAGTGTGGCATGAGCCTGTGTATAGTCAAGCAGTAATTTGTAAATATGGGTGGTTGTCATTTAAGGTATTAGAGTTTCATATATTTGATAAGAGATTATGTTTAAAGTAATAGGCTATAAAATGTTGTCATAGTTTTCAGGTTTTGAATTTGAGATTTTTAAAAATTACTCATCTCAACTTCAGTTACTTGAAATAAAATTTTAACCTGGTAGTCTCAAGTGAACAGGCCAGGTAATATGAACTTTGTGTTTTCATGCAAGCGCATTTCTTCATCTGAGAGACGGGGCCCCTCCATGTGCCTGTGGCCTCACTTCGCTGCCTGAAAGGAGAGGCCTTGAGTTTGTGCAGGTCTTTTCTTGCCACGTGGCCTATATGATGTGTTTCCACGTCTCTTGTGCAGGAAAAGCATTGGACATTAGACTAATTTTTGTTTTAACTGATTTTATGGGCTAACCACTCTGCAGCCTCATTTATATATATACATATACAGCCATATATGGCCTTAAACCTAACATTCTCAAGAGCAGGTAGGATGGGAAAATTGATCCCTTATGCTGGAAAGACATTTGGAGATGAGATCATAGTGAAAACCGCTCTTTTGATATCAAATGCTGCATAACAACAGTTAGGATGATGTATCTCACCTGTTATTCAGCTCTGTTCAGTATACATTTGGATGCCAAGAAGACTTTATAAACCAGACAGCTTTGGTGTTGATTTGTGTCTCACGGAAGTAATGGCCTTCATAGAGTACAGGGATTTTGTTGAAGAAATCCAAACGAGTCCACTGCTTGTTCTTGTTATGGTTTGGGAACAGATTTGACTTTGATGGGAAGCAGGAACAGGATGGAGCCAGTGCTTGCTGTGGTGTGCTGTTCCCATCAGGAGGGGCCCCTGGTTCCCACTGAGGGTGTCCTTCCAGCAGCCTCCGCCCCGGCCCTGCATGGCTCCCTCATAGCTGCCTGGCCAGTGTCATCGCTCGCAGTTGCCATCCACTTCTGGGCTTATTTTTGTTCTCCCGTTTGTGCCTGCTTCCTGTCATCCTCCTTTTAACGCGGTGGCCTTACCAGTTCATGTCTCTCCTCCTGCCAGTGCAAGGGTCTGCCTCAGGGTGGGTGATGTGGGTACACACAGGGCTGCCCACTGTCCCTGTTCCCACTGCTGAGCACTGGGAGCACTCCGAGGGGTGGAGACGTGCTGCCCCCCGCAGGTGGGGGCCAGGAGAGGGGAACGAGAGGGAGGTAGACCCTGTTTAGTCCGCCCCCACTCGCAAATGTTACTGTGGTCCTAGTCTGATAAGGTAAGTTCAGACTCAGCGTTAAGGCGACTTCTGGCGCAGAGAGAGCTGACGGATCAGTCAGAAGCCCTCTGGAAGTGTTTTGCATTCAATATATCCACTTAACGAGTAGGAAACAGTTTTTAATTAACCACGTAAACAGTTCCTTTTACAGATAATGTCCTGAATAAGACTGTTTGTTAATAGAATGTGAGATAGACTTGCTTGCTTGTCACATGTCCATAGGACCATCTGTACGTAAAAGATTTCTTAAGTGAGGACTTAATAGCAATATCTTTAAAAGAGAACAATTTGGAAACAATACCGTGTTTTAGGTTTATTTAAATAATAATTGATCTAGTTTTATTCTAAGGATTATGCTAAGTTTGTTATTAAAATCCAGCCATAAATAAGCAGAAATGAAGATTGTTGCCATTTTTTAACAATATTTTCTCTTTTCCTTCTCTTCCCATCACCTTTTGCTTTTGTTTTCATGTTTTTGGTTGTGGCTCTTCCTGTCCGTCCTCCTGCTCCTCCCACCTTTGCCTGTCACACCTGTCCTCTCCCCGTCTTAGCATGGCAAGGCACTGACCTGATGCATAATCACGTCTTGGCTGATGATGACCAATCAAGTCTAGACTCCTTGGGTCGTCGCAGTAGCCTTTCTCGTTTGGAGCCTTCAGACCTCTCGGAAGACTCTGACTATGACAGTATATGGACAGCCCATAGTTACAGAATGGGTTCTACATCTCGTAAGAGCTGTTGCTCATATATCTCTCACCAGAACTAATGCACTTCTGAGCTTTTCTTAACAAATGCTTGTTGTATCGCAGCCTGCTTTTCTTAGATGTTTTCTTGCTGTTCCTTGTCTCTTTTATGTGATATTTTAACAACTTTTGAGAGCGTTTCTGATATTTCCCATTGTAATTGTAGAGGCTTAATTGCCGATTTGACTATCCATTCAAGTTACTGACTGTTGAAGGAGATGGTATGTTCACACAGCCTATCCTGAGGGCTCTGGACCTGAGCGGTGGTTCTATAGCTCCAAATGGTTTGGTTTTTATTCTCAGTGTAGCAACTGTCTCATTTCTTTTTGGATACAGCTGTATGTACACTTTGATATTTTATACTGAAACCATACAGGCTTGTGATCTAAGTTACAGCAACATGGGCAAGACTCTGGCCTAACATATAGGGATCTAAATTTTGTCTGTATAATGGACTGGTCAAGGAGTGGTGGAGAAATCAGGAGGGGGAAACACACCACAGAAGCACTGTGAGTCCAGTTCAGACAGACGTGTTCTGAGGACCCTCAGGGCACTTGGTGACCACGAGGAACCCTGTGTTGGTGGGGCCAGCATGGGCTCTGGGCCTTGGCAGGAGCACAGACGAGCTTGTCTGCAGCCCCACAGCTCTATGGTTGGCACTTACCACACATGGCCGTCTCCGTGCCCCCCCATTTGCCCGGGGGTGGGAGTCCTCTTCTCCAAAGGCCCAGTTATGGTCAGAGCTCAGACACGCGCATCATCACACCAAACTTTCCTTAATTGGAGTAATTTCTCTTAAACAGCGCTCAGCAAGCCTTACCTCTGCTGAATGTTTGAAGTCTGCACTCGGCAACATTCAGCCTCTGAACGTGTAGGTTAGACTCCGTTCAGAGAGGCCTGTGGCCTAACTGAGAGGGCGAGAGCTTCGGCTTCAGTCACAGCCTGGTGCACCCCGACATCCATTCTCATGCCGCCTGTGCTGGACACATCGTCTGCTTTCAGCCACTAGCTGCAGTGAAACGCCACTTACAGCAGCCCCGTTGAATGTAACCCGCATTGGGGATTGTGATGGGGAGAGCTGAGTCCACTAAGACTGACTAAGTTGCCATGTAAGTCACTTACAGGAAATCTCAGAAGTGGGGGCCTCCCCCACTTTCCTGGGATTTGTTGTAAGGAGATTTCACTGCTTCAAAAAGAACTGAATGTGACCTGTTGCGTTCAGTTGTGGCATCCAGATCACGTCTGGTCATCGCTAGAGGGGAGGAGCTGTGTTCTCTCCCACGCATGCTGTATTTGGTGTTAAAATGGAACCTTAAGGTTGTGTTTTAAGTATTCATTAAAACCAGCTTCAGAAAACAAAATGCCATAAGACATTGGAAATAACGTTTTCTCCTTTCTTCAGGACGGCTGCGATTTCTCCCTGCTCCCCCTACTCCTCCTTCGCAAACCCATGTATTCAGTGTGCTGATCGTGTTTGCACAGAGGCTACTCTGATGCACGACACCATTGTTTCCTGGGAGCCCCCAAGCCCAGAGGTGCTAGGGATCCCGGCAGTAGCCTGTAGCTTAGAAAGTCAGACAGCTTCAGGACTGCATGCAGCGAGGTCAGTAGGAAAACCAATAATTCCAAGTATCTGTTCCCAAGTAGCTACTGGACTGTTTATGCCATCTGGAGGTTTCATATTTTTATATCGTTAGTATAAATAAGAAAGCTGAGGAGCAATCTTTTACCATTAGTCAGAGCTCAGTATTAACCCACAGTACAGATGGGGTTTATGTATGTTCAGCCAAATAGCAAATGGAATTTTTGGGGAAATAGGATAACTACGAAGTTCATATACTTAATACCATGCAATGAATTTAGAAGCAATTTTGTTTTATGTTCTACAGAGTAGTCACTTTTGCTGATATTAATAGTAGGACATCTTTTTGTGTGCTTTGAGATGACAGCCACTGGTGTGCTGGCTTCGAGGCCTTTGCCATGGCTCAGTCAACTTGGGTGGCCCATGTCCTGTGCTCTGTGTACCACCATGTTGAATACAGTTGCTGCACTTGGAGTTTTCTTAACACCAGTATCATTTGGATTGTCTTAATAAGCTGTTTTCATTTTCTCTACACCAAGGTTTTGACACTTTCCCATCATTCTTTTTTGTACCAGTTAAAGCCATTTTGATGATGATTTTTGTTGATGCTGAGGTCATTGCAGAATAACAAGCTGGCTTTCTGTTTGTTTGGATTTGTTTTGAATGTCTGCCACCATTAGCTTTTGTGAACTGGTTGGAAGTGTTAGTGCCACAGGCCTGAACACAGTGTTGAGTGGCAGTGGTCATGCTGAAATAGTACCTTATGTTCTTGCAATTCTGTCATATCTACGTGTACAGTTAGTATTATAATGAAAGGATGAAGAATCTGAACTAGAAGGTAGGTTTAAGCCTGGCCCTTTGCAAATGGCCTAAATGGTGTTCCCATTGAATTAACACTTGCCACAAGTATATAAGCTATATCAATTATGTGTTTTGCATAAAATTGCCAAAACACAGTAACGTGTATAAAGTGGTATAAGACCTTGAGAAGTGTCTCTATATTGTGCTTTCTATCTGTGAACGGGGAAGCCGTTTTTGGTGGGCAGCTGCCGTTGGAAGACTCCGTTGGATGTATGCCTGAACGTTGCATTGTATTGTACAGTATGCCTATTATTGTTTGTGGTTGCATATGGCAATGAAGTGTTTGTTTTATAAAACAACAAAAAGACATCTGTTATGTACAGTTGAAATAAATTTTGCATTTGCTAGCCCGTGGCTTTTAATATTTGTTACATGGGGGGAGGGGAGTAGCATAGTTTGCAGTTTAATATGATTTGACTGTCCCCTGAATATAGCATCTTCAGAGGAAGGCCAGGCAGTGACACTTTTTGTCCGCCTCGATAGCAAAGCTTGTGCTTTCTTAGGCTAAATGTGCTCCAGACAATACAGAGTCACTCCTTGAACGTTTGTATTTCATCTGTTTCCCTCCAATTTTTTTTTAAATCAAATTTTCAATCACTGGGAGGTTCGTCTTCAGAAAGAAGCATTCTCTCTTTTTTTGTACATAAATGGAAAAAAACCCAGCTTTAAAAATTTTTTATTTAGACTAAGGTCAGTTTTTAATTTTTGTGGGGTGGAGCACATGCCCAGCTGACTAGGAAGAGCACAATGAAAGGAAAGGCCGAGGCACTGCTTCATGCGGGCTGGGAGGAGGCACAACAGACGCAGGGCGTTCGTAAGAGAACTGAGAAAAAGGAATTCGAATCTCAGCATAGCCATAAGTGACAAAGTGGCCTTTTGGAGAGATTTTACTAAGTAGATTTTTAAAAGAGTAATATTTTGCTTCATTGTGAAAGTTATCTTAGTTTCAGTTGAGTGTAATTAGATGCAGATTTTAGAAAGATTACGAATTTAAGAAGTCATGTGAGTTTTGCTACAAATGTCCTAGACCAGACTGGCAGATGTTCTTTTCTGACAAACCTACACTGCTGTTAGGCTTTTACTGTGGGCCAGCTCGCTCACCCATGCACACACCGTGTGAGTGCCTGGGGGGGACAGTCGTGTGTCCTCACATCACGCCTGAGGTGGTGTCGCACAACCAAGACGGCACCCTGGGGTTTGGGTACCACTCTGTTGCTGCCTGGTCAAGTCATCTCTCACTAAGATGGAAGTGTTGGATCAATCTGTGTTTCTCAAACTAAGACCCACAGTTCTCTGTGAGTGTTTTAGGGGGCAGGGTGCTAAGCTCTGGGGATCCGGGGCTGTTTTAGGGGACAGGGTTCTAAGCGTGTCTCCAGCTTCTGGATCACACCTCTGGGTGAGTCCCGCAGGGGTCTCAGCACCTGCTCCCATCCCCATCTGCGCACCGCAGAGCGACCCCTGCTGGTGACAGCGTGGAACTGTCGTTGTGTGTCTGTCAGGGAGCATTGGTGGCTGGATCCAAAGAATCTGCAGACATGTTCTTGGAGTCCTCAAGTTTGAGAGATGCTGGATTGATGCTAAGTATAAATTATTGTTTCGTTATATTTGGTCTCACATTGAGCAACAGCAACAAAACCTACCAGCACTTGAGTGTGTGTATTTATAGATGCAGATAGGATTATGGACTCGTGTGGTACTCCTCCAGCCGCTATCCAGAAAACTGCAAGTGTTAATATTAATGCTGAGAAAAAGAGAGTTCAGCACTCAGATGAATTTAGGAAATGCAGAATTCAAGTTGAATGGGTACTTTTACTGAAAACCTTCTGAAGACCTTCGGCATGCTGATGTGCACGGTGGAGCTCCAGGCGGTGGCTGTAGCGTTGAGCATTGTCCGGAAGTGTGTGCGCCAGGACCCTGTTATCTCCCAGAACACACACCTCTGTGTTTTGTACAAAGTTTGGGAAAGACAGATCTTCACTGTGCTGGAACCATCGTGAACCTGTTCATCTGTGTCTCGGTCCCTTTCGTAGGGTTTAAATAAAGTGATAGAACAGTTTTTGGTAGTTCTGCAGTTAAATTATTTTTCCAACCTAAATAATTCAGGGAAAATGTGCTGTGATGCCTCTAAAAATACTATCATGATCTTGGAGACAACTTGCTAAATCTGTTTCCTAGAACTTTGTTCTTAGAGAAATAGCCAACTTATTAATAAACCTGACTGGAGAATGTTCCTTTATTGTTTTGTTGAAAGACTAAAATATTTTCAGTCATTTTAGAAAAATATGTTATATTGAAATAAGGCAGCTTGTTAGCATCCTATGAATTTGTCTGCAGGCTAATAAATCATCTTCGTTTAGAAGCCTCCTGGCTCACCATCGAATCCATAATGGCATTTTTCACATTGGCACATTTCAGCAATCAAGCAGTTAGTACGTTTTGTTTATAATATAACATTCTCTAACTTACATTTTTATAATCTGTTGTTAAATTCTTGTATGCTTAAGTGTATTTGCAAAACTAAGACCTTTGTCATGCGTGTGCACTGGTTGCACCAGTTCTTACAGGTTTTGTCCCTCTGATTTGCTTAGGTCACACAACGGAATTTAAGGCTTTCATGTTTATGAGTTCATCTGGCAAAAAGATATTTATCAAATGTAATTTTTACATCAGTCCTCAGAACAGCCCTGCAGAGGTAGTTGGTTTGGTCCTCCTGTTTTTCGAATAATGGGATTGAGCCTCGGGCTCAGTGCCGGGCCGAGTGGACTGAGGACCTCCGCGGACAGGCCAAGTGGAGTTCGGTCATCCGAGCACCTCTGCAGGGCAGCAGCCCACGTCTGCTGTCCGACCCCTTCTCTACAAGCAGACATCCCTTGTGATTCTATTTCATATCTTCTTTGAACATTTTAATGGTGGAAACGCATAAGGTAAATAGGTTGCCTAGGAAGCTAGAAGATGCAGAAATAATTGAAAAGACATACATTGACTTTAATCTTCCTGTTACGTAAGAAAATTTTCAACCCGTTGTCTCATAGCTAATCCATTGGAGGAAATGTGTTACAAACTGGCTGTGACAGATCCACAACTGATGCCTTCTTGATTTGACTGATGCACAGTCAGCAACTCTCTGGGCTCCAAGCAGGTGACAGGGGAAAATCCAGGAGCAGGCTGAGTTGTCCCACGTCACTAGTTTGCTTCTCTTCATGGGGAAACTTAAAGCGAAGCCATTGGCTTTCTACACGTATGATGCACACATCTGACTCCTGATGAATCTGTTTCTAGTTTTAGGGAAGATGCACATGAATTAACTTTTCCTTGTATGAACGTGGGTAACATTCACATTTGTATCAACAGCACAGGATTTTCCTTGGCCTTCAGAATTCTTAAGACTGCTGGTGTCCCTGTGCTTTCTTGGGAATCTGTTTCACACATCTACTTCCTTATTTCCCACGTGGCCCGGATGTCCCAGAGGCATCCCCATTAAGCGAGAGAGGCCTAGAAGAAGTCAGCCGGCACCGGCCGCCCCCCGTGGAGCCCTGGCACCTGGAGCAGGTCATAGTCCGGGGAGGTGGATTGTTGTCAGCATGACAGCATTTTTAAAAAGGTCTCCCTTTCTGGGACCATGTCTTGGAGGACATGACCTTCTGTCTGAAAAGCAGTTCCCTGGCTGTGCAGGTCACTGTGTGAAAAGGTGGAGTGTGGCCTTAACGAGGGGTATGATGGAAGAAAGCGACAGATGTGCTGGTCCAGGATTTGCAGTGCGGTGTGAAGCATGAAAACGCTGCGGGCAGTCCTCTGAAATGTACTTGACAAGTTTATGTACAAATGTGCTCCTGTCTGCCAGCTCACTGCAGCTTGAGAGAGAATTCTAGGTACTGCATTTGACTGTGATGCTAAAGTTACTCTCAGTACACATAGAAGCCCTTCCCTTTACTGATGTAAAGTGGATATCTATATCTCTGTCTCGATCTTGAAGTTTGTGCTAGCACAGAATTGTACTGGCTTACCCAGAGCTTAATCTTCCTGCTCCTGGGATAACCAGGCAGGAGGTCCACATCTTAGTTTTGTTTGGCTCCTGACGCCACGGTTTCACAGTGGGCTTGTGTTGATACTCCTCCCAGTCTGGGAGATGGGGACAGAGTGGGTCTGCAGATGTCCATGGCGGCAGGGACGGATGTGGCCAAGGCCCCGTGGCTGGTACACTCCTGTCCCTTGCTCTGTAGCTTGCTGTTGTGGAGATGGTGGAGCTGCTCCCGGGCCATTGTGACATTTTGTGAACCCTCTTGTCATCAAGCGTTGACAGTAATTGTTAATCTTGTTCCATTCAGAGGAGTAAAAGCCCGCAATAAAATGCTGGTGAAGCTATTCCTTAAACTGATATCTTTAAAACATTGTGTTATACTGAACGTCCCTCTGATACGATGATGAACAGGTGCCGTCTTGTGACTTGACAGACTTTTAGGAAGACAAACCAAAGGTAAACCAGGAAAACAGCAGCACGTCGAAGCACCATCTCTATAATTAATTGCACGTCACACACCAAGCGTATTTTTTTAATGGAGAAATGTTTAATTTATCACAATACCACTTGCAAGTGTTTGTATTCTGTGATAGAATTATATCCTTGAAATTTTCATCTGATGTAATTTTTCAAAAATATAAATGATGTATGTTAATAGTGCTGTATAGCCTTTAAGGAGAGATTATTTATTTATTTGTTTATTTAATAGATGTTCTAATCTTCCGGGGAAGGTTATTGGATTGGCCCTGAGCTAACATCTATTGCCAGTCTTTCTCTTTTTCTTTTTTCCTCTCCAAAGCCCCAGTACAAAGTTGTATATCCTAGTTGTAAGTCCTTCTAGTTCTTCTGTGGGATGCCGCCACAGCATGGCTTGATGAGTGGTTGTAGGGCCACACCTGGGATCTGAGCTGGCCAACCCCAGGCCACCGAAACAGAGCATGCAGACAATTGCTGCACCGCTGGCCCCAGGAGAGATTGTCTTAAGAGAGATTATTTTCTTCCTTCATCGTTAAATAAGATTTGATTCTCTTTTTTCACCTTTTAAGATACATTTTTGGGTTCCCCAGTTAATTCCTAGCATACCTATTTTGCAGCAAACATTGATTGAGACACTGTCCTAGGTTCAGTGGCATGAACGTTCCTAGGTTCAGTGTCCTAGGTTGGTTAAGTGGCATGCACGTTCCTCTGATGTTGTGAACAATTCACTTCCTTCCATTGAGAAAAATGTTCATATTCCAGGGAATGCAGAATAAAGTTTTCATAAAAGAGCCAAGTAATAAACTTCACTTTTTTCTAAACCCTGTGCTGTAACATCTGTAACTGTTACTGTGGAGTTAAATGTTTGAACTGCCAGTTCACTGGACACTCAGTGATTTATAGACGCTCAGTGTGTGTGTACTGCAGAGTCTGGTAGGTCTTTCTAAAGTTCCTGGAACACTATGGCTCAAAATTTGGTTGATTTGGATACCTATTCCAAAAAAATCTGAATATTCCAGAATATGCAGGGCACTATAGTCAACCTTTACTACCTATTGAAAATTTCAGAATTTAAAAGATCCATAATCCAGATTCAATTAATAAATTGCAAAAAGGCTAACATTTCCTCTTCTCTATAATGCTTTAGGCGTGAAAAGACTGGGTTCAGTAGACGTTGTTAGAGAAAACTGGTAAAAGTTGCCATTCCCTATTTTGTCTGGAAAGTATTCTTTTAATGTACAGTCCCTGGGATTTAATACTAATATGTAAGTAGTATTTATAGTCAAGTTTTTTTAGTTCCGCCATGAATTCACCTATGGGTTTTTTGTTTTTTTAATGATGGTAGGTTCACGCAAAGAATCTGCTCCACAAGTTTTGCTTCCAGAAGAAGAGAAGATTATAGTCGAAGAAACTAAAAGTAACGGTCAGACAGTGATAGAAGAAAAGTAAGATATATTCTAGTATTTTAAAGCAGGCATGTCTCTACAGAGGGGAGTGGGGTATGGGGGTGCATGGTGGGGAGGGGTGGGGCATGGAAGGGAAGGGTGGGAGTGTGGGGGTGCATGGAGGGGAGGGGTGGGGCATGGAAGGGAAGGGTGGGAGTGTGGGGGTGCATGGAGGGGAGGGGTGGGGCATGGAAGGGGGAGTGGGGGCATGGGGATGCACTGAGGGGAGGGGTGGGGGCGTGGGGGCGCCTGGAGGGGAGGGGAGGGGGAGTCTGGCTTCAAAAACGACTGCTGCTTTCATCGTGGGTTGCCGTTGACTTGCCTGGGCTCTCCCCTCCCATGCACAGAAGCTGGCTGCTCTGACATGCGTGGGCTTAGGTCTTCAGGAAACGGGGCAGAGCAGCACCGTTCACTTCACCTGGTGGTGTCTTGTCTCCTGGGAAGGTGCTTCTGTGTGTCCTCTTCATCCCTCTTTCTTGTTCTGGAGTTCATTCTGTTTTCTCTTTCAGGAGTCTTGTTGATACTGTCTATGCGTTAAAGGATGAAGTCCAAGAGTTAAGACAGGTGAGTCATAATTAGTTTTCATAATCTTTTTTTTAATGGGGGAAAAGAGGAAAACACTATGTTAAAAATGAAGCTGGTCGTCCATAAGCAAAATAGTACAGAAAGGAGGGCCTGTCTTTCCGAATTCCAGTAGATCAGATAATTGGTGTTCTATGAACGTGATAGACCAGGAAATGAATTTTTAAAGTGACTTATTTAAACTCTTTCTTTTTAATATATTATTTTTCACATCATCAACCATCTCAGAGTCTGTTGGAATTAGTGTTTAAAATATCTAGAATTCCATCTAGTCAGTAATTTTATCAGGTTCCTGCTGTGACACTTCTCCTCCACTTTTCTTGTATAACACATGGTCTTTGTTCTTAAGAAACCAGGTCAACGAATCAGTTAAACTTAACTAACCCAGTCTGTTTTGTATGTTTGTATATTATTTGTCTGTACAAGTGGCCTTGCTCTCCGAGGAGGGGCGGTACGTCCTGCCCCCAAGGCGGGAGGTGTGAGGGGAGGCGGAGGAGAGCGTGAGCGCAGTGGTCTGGGCTGCACAGAGTGCTGGGGTGCCCGCCGGGCCCCTGGACGCGCTCAGAGCTGCTCCTCTTAGCCCCTCAGCAGCGTCCGCGGTGGCTGCGGGACTTCACCTCCTCCTTTGAGATTTTCGGGTTCGATTGTTAGGAACAGGAGACATTAGGGCTGTTTCTCCTCCTGGGGTTGTCTTGGCTCCCAGGACAGCTGTGCAGTCAGGAGCCCTGAGCGTCTCTGTGGACGTGGGCAGTTCTGTTAAACACACCGTGACCGCAGCCCAGGGCAGACTCCAGCCCGGCGTTTCATCCGCGAGGCGCCCAGGTCTCCTGGGGAAAGGGAAGTCCTCTTCTCTGCCAAGGATAGTGAGTGTCCTGTGTGTGCTTCCTCTACAGGACAACAAGAAGATGAAGAAGTGTCTGGAGGAAGAGCAGAGAGCGCGCAAAGACCTGGAGAAGCTGGTGAGGAAGGTCCTCAAGAATCTCAACGACCCCGCGTGGGACGAGACCAACCTGTGAGGGACGCCCTCCGTTCCGCCCTGAGGCCGGCTCAGCCCAGGCCGCCAGCCCCGGCCCCAGCTGGGCAGGGCTGGCCCAAAGTCATCTTCCTCTGCGTGGACAAGCTGGAGTTCATCACACTGTCCTGAAGAATCCAGACACGAGGTGTAGACCCTGAGGACTGAACTGCATTACCTGACTCTGTTAACATGGCGATTACCTCATTTTGCAATAAGCGCAGTGACTGACTACGAGTCCTGGTCCTTCAGGCTTTACTGAGCAGATAGAAATATCATACAGACGTGTTTCCTGTAAATGCTCTCTTTTGAATGCGTATCCACGACTCTGCTGTCAGGGCTGATGCCCGTCCGAGAATTCCCTTCCCACTAACCGCCCTGGTCCGCGGACTAGAGCCGTGTCCACACACTCCAGGGAGCAGGCCGTGGAGGGCCGGGGGCTCGCGGTGGATGCCCGACTTGTTCTCCGCAGCGCTCCGGGAGGAGGCTCCTCAGCATCGCACCTGAGGGTGCCTGACGGACTGACCTTACTTATGTCTGCAGAGATACTTAGTACCATTTGAACGTCTTCTGTGAAAGCCGTGTCGCAGTCCCCGGCCAGCAGTGGTCCCCAGGGCCGCGCTCTGGCCGAGTGAGGGAGCGTCTGAGCCTCAGCCAGGAGTCGGAGTTGTCACACCCCCACCACCGTGTCCCCCTCCGGGTGCACACTCTGCCTGCCTCCCGTGAATACCGTCAGCATCGGGGCGTCCTCACAGCCTCTGGGACATCACAGACTTGTATGCTCTGGGCCAGGGTGATCACTTGACAAGGTGCACTGTTTTGTCCTCCCCTCAAAAGAGAAAGCTTCACTAGGACCTGTAAATAAAGTGTGTTATTTATTACATCTCACTGCAGCTGATGAAGACGAGCCAGGGTGACCGTGAGCTGCCCCGATGGGTAGGCTGCCTCTGTCGGGCCGATGTGAGCTCAGATCTGTTTGCCATCAGGGCGCAGCAAGCACTGCAGTCACGCATCGCTTAATGACGGGGCTACGTTCTGAGAAATGAGCTGGTGGGCAGTTTGGTGGTTGTGGGAACATCATAGAGCGCACTTAGACAAACCTAGATGGTACAGCCTGCTGCCCGCGTAGGCTGTGTGGTGCTCACCTTATGGGACCACTATCGTGTATGCAGGTCTGTCATTGACCACAATGTTGTCATGTGGCGCATGAGCGTGCTTCAGCACTCGCTGGGGAAAAAAGTGTTTCCCTCTTTCTGCAAGAATAAAGCAATATAATTCTTCAATTCCACCTAAGTAATGCAAGTGTAACATGGGTCCATCCCCCCAGTCCAAATGGAGCAGGAAGCCTGTCCCAGCCCGGCTCCGCGGGGCATTCGAAGCCGCAGCAGCCCCTGGCGGGCGGCTCAGCCATAGAGCCCAGCCTCCGCTCTGCCTCAGAGACGGCAGTGAAGGCACAGGAGCTTGCTGTGCGTTGCCCTTCTCTGAAGAGGTCGATTTTAGAGCAAGATAAGCTTTTTCACAGAGCCACTGTTACATCTTTAAAAACCAAACTTGCAGTGCCGTGCATTAGAGACTTCTCAGAACTACCCATTTGGCATCAGATGTGACTTTCAGTGACGTGATCTGTTGGTCAGGAGATCCTTTCACTGCATCAGAATCTTCTGGTGCCCTTGAACTGGGCAGCTTTGGAACTGGCGGTGGTCTGGTTTCCCCGGTTCTTGTTCCTCGCGCCCGCTGATCAGTCTCTGCCTGCCTGTCCCCCGCGGTAGGTCGGCTGCTTGAGCCTGGCCCCTCCCAGCTCTGTGCTCAGCAGGTGTCTGGGGCCCAGCGTTGACCTGCCCACACTAGACCTTTCAACCAGAATTGCCAACTTCCTGTACTTAGCATTTCGTTCATTAGTGCTAAGACTAGAGAAGATTTTTTTTTTGTAAGTCCTATTTTTACATTTTTTGTTGATGCATAAGACATTGCAGTGGAAAACAGTTAAATCTGAGTGTACTGAAGTTTGCTGTCTTAAGCAAATTTTAACTCAGGAACAACATTCGTCGCCTGATCCCTCCCTCACTTTGGGATGGGTGATGTTGCCGTCAGCATCCCCGGACGGGTCTCAGAGGGAACCTGCCTTAACGGTTGACACACCGAGTGAGAGCGCTTGTGTGTCCCGTCCCTCCCCTGAGCGGGGCGGCCGTCGGGATGCTTGTGTGATGCATTACCTTTTCTTCATGTGGACCCAGTATTTTACTTGGCTTTTAGGGAGCAGAGAAGATGCACCTGAGAGCAGTTCTACACACCTGCCCTGTTGTGAGCAGACCGCATCTGTTTCTCCATGTGACCTTCCGGGGGGTTGGGAATTGATGGGGATGTTAGAAAGGGGCACTGTTCACCCTAGGGGCCACTGCTCTGCTCTCACCCTTCACGCACGAGGAGACAAGCCATTTCCTATCCCGAGATATGAAGCACTTTCAGTTCCACGTGATGTTGCGATGTGGCGTCAGAGACTGTCCATCGTGCTTTGCGGTGTGTGTGCCTGCCCACGTGCGCCCGCGTCCTGGACGTTGAGTGCCTCCCGGCTGTGTGCTCGCTTCCCGATGCCCCTCACTTCTCCACTTTCCTGGGACACGCAGAGGCCACCTGTACAGCTGTGGGACACTTCACGAAAATGCCACAGACGGTGTCCTGGCATTGACTACTCATGCTACATTGTAATTATTAAACTGATGACTTTTCTTACGTTACAAATACATCACGTTATCTTCCATGATGTGTTTTTGGTGTGCATGTCACCTTCACACTTTCTTTTGACTTTTTTATATTTTTAAATTCTGGTGTGAGTTTTTGACACTGGAAAATATCACATTTGCCTTGAAAATCTTGGGTTTGGGAATATTTGAAGATAAGTAAGATTAAAAAGGAAAAGTCGAGGCGAGGAAGAGCTGACCTGCTCGGTGTGCCTCCACTTGTCTGCCTTCGTGGAGTGGTGGCTTTCACCCCTCAGGATGCTCAGTAGACCGTGGTGAGGGGTTGAATAAGTGAAAGCATTTTTAAGATTCCTGTGGGGTCCTTGTAAGAACGTCATATGACGAAAGAGAGGTGCTCGTCTGTCCGAACTGCGCCCGTCCCTGGCACTCCCTCCAGGCAGGGCCACGGTCCAGCTCAGAGGGCTGGAGATGGTACTCAGGGAAGAGAGGGGAGTGTCTACGAGTTCCCGCAGCATGTCCCTTCCCCTCCCACAACTCCCGCTTAGACCTAAGGAGCTGAGCATAGCACAGTCACCGTTGCCACTATAGTTTTCTGTTCGGTAACGTCGTAACCACCACTTTGTCATCCTTCTACCAGATTTTTGGGAGAATTGGTAGGTATCTTGCAGAAAAAACAGTCTTTCTTGATGCTTGTATAAGTCGGTCCATGTGGTGGTTCACGTTTTTCATAGTCCCAGAAGAAATTCTCCCTTGGCCTCCAGAAGGCAAGCCTGCGAGGTAGTGAGGACGTACAGCGAGGCCAGCCCCGCAGCCGTGAACGCTAGCGTGTCCCAGCCGAGGGCGCCGACCTGTGATGAGGGAGCCCTCGCTGGACGTGGGGTGTCTCTGGAAGGGGGGCCTGAGGACCAGATGAAGGCACCGCTGCCCAGTGCGTCCATGCGCCTGGCTCGCCTCACAGCCTCTCTGGGTGGAGTGACTGTTGCACGGGCACCTAGCCACCAAGAACCAAAATGCAGCCTGTATCCCAAGTGTGGAGGGTTCCCATCATCGTTTCAGGCTAAAGCGAGTGGGTATTCAAAAATGCGCTTGTGTTGGTTTGCATTGTGAAGGGGATGTGTGGTGCCTTCGAGACCCCTAATTCAAATTGTTCGTGTGCCAGGGGCAGTTTAGGCATTTATATTTATATTTTTCTTGCCCGTCTGTAATTATAAATTTCTGCTCATAGGGAAAATACAAACCACACAAGGATACAAAGTAAAAGCGGGCATCCCTCTCGCACCCCCCTCCCCCAAAGCGGCTGATGTGATGTGTCTTACTCATTCTTTTGTTCTTCTGGGCAAATGCAGATATGGGGGGGCAGTGACTTTCTTCCCCACAAACACCACAAATGAGATCCCATTGAGTATATTCTTCTCTAACTTGCCTTTTAAAAAAGTCTATGTGGGAAAAATCATAAATCCCCATACCACATCATAAACAAAAATAATCCCAGGTATATTAAAGACCTATATATGAAAAACTTGAAAGTTCTAGAGGAAAATGCAGAATTTTTATGACCTTTTGCTAAGATTGCCTTTGTTTGAACGTACTTTAGGTGTCTTTCCATACAGGTGTGTGTAGGTGACCCGGTGTGTTGACAGCTACCTAACTGTTTATTCTGGTCACTGGTGAGAGAGGCCTGGGAGGCTCTGGGGTGGTCCGTGTGCACAGCTGCAGCAGCCGGGCGGGGAGCGGCTACGTCATCCACTCCTGGGGACGTACTGTGCATCTTTAAATTTTTACAGAATTTCCCAGATCCCTAGAAGGTGTTTTAGAAGTGACATCCTTGGCACTTTTACAGGTCTAGTTTCTCCAAAAAGGAATCGAGGTCTAAATGCCGTCTGAAACCTTCTCTTCGTTCCCGATACGTTCGTGTCGATGCTGTTGGCTCCATGATGAACATGCCATTGGGAGAAGTGGGGTTGCCCCTGCGCATCCATCTCTGTGATATGTCTTTCTGTCCTTAGGCTCTTTCTCGGCAGATTTCTCGTGTGTTGCAATAATTACCTTTATAAGCAATAAAGCTAGCCCTCGCTCTACCTCCACGGCCTCCTCACCAGCCTCGTCTCCCGGCCCCTTCCTCTAGAGCCGATCTTCAGCACACGGTGGGCGGGCTGCGCCTGGGCACTGGTGGTTCCCGCCATGCTCCCCTCTGCCGTGGGGTGGGGTCGTTGCCGCCTGCCCTTAGGGTCCTGTGTGCAGCTGGCCCGGGCTTGCCCTGGAAGGCCTGTGCTGCGTTACGGGGGTCTGCATCACTCTAAGATGGCGCTCTCCTTTCTAGGTTGGAAAGTGACAGGTATTTTCAGTGTTTTTCGGACGTGGTTGGAATTCCACCAGAGGAAGGTGAGGGCCCAGGAGCGAGATGCTGGACAGATTCTGAAAACTGCTCAGACAGCAGCATGGAATAAAAGGAAGTGTTGCCCTTTTAAAGAGTTACCCCACGTACAGATTATGCCAGGATGCCCTTTCTGTAGACTTTGTTGGATGATAATCATCTGGGCTCTGCCGGAGCTGAAATTGATGCTGTTTAATTTCTCCCTAACTTAGATGCAATAGTTAATTAACTTGATTTTATTTGTAAACAAAAGGGGTTGGTGTTTAATAGCTGGAAGGAGGAATGAAGTGGTGACTCTTTTGCATATGGCAACACTGCAAAATTAAAAGCTGGTGGCCGCACAGGATGAGGGAGTTAATGGCTCAGGGATGCCCCGCCCTGACGGTGCTGCCAGTGTAACTGGCCGGCTGGGGTTGTGTGGTTGGGAGCCTCACACAGAGGGAGGGCAGGGAGGGGGATGGGGCCTGAGACCACACCAGCCAGCGGGCGCCGTCTGAGCCACATGGCCCGTGGGGGTGGGGGAGTCGTAGACCCTGGTCTGACCCGGACCCCCCCTGGAATCCACAATGCTTTTGGTTTGTTTTGTCTTCTTTTCTAAGAGCCGTATTAGATAGGTGTTTCTTACGATTTTATTTTTGAAGACCTTTTCTTCTCTAGTGGTTGTCCCTGCACTATCGTTAACACAGCTGTGTGAGTTTCATGTGGCCGCTGTAACCAGCACCACACGCTGGGTGGGCTCCAACAGCAGACCTTTATCGTCTCCCAGTCGTGAGGCCAAGAGCCTGGAATCGGGCGTCAGCCGGGTCATGCTCCCTGTGGAGGATCCAGGGAGGACCTTCCTGCTGCTCCCGGCTCCTGGTGGTTGTGGCAGTCCCTGGAGTCCTTGGCTTGTGGCCTCATCGTTCCAATCTCTGCCTCCGTCGGCGCGTGGCCGTCGTCCCTCCGTGTGTGTGTGTCTTCACAGGCTGTTCTCTGTGTCTCTTTTCTCTTCCCAGTGGTGCCCCAGTCACATGGGATGAGGGCCCACCGTGAGTGTGACCTCATCTTAAACTGACCACATCTGCAATGACCCTAATTCCAAATAAGGTCACATTCACAGGTCCTGGGGGTCAGGACTTCAATGTGTCATTTTGGGGGCAACACAGTTCAACTCGTAGCAATGGGGAGAGTGGACCCGCATCCCTAGCCATCGGCCTGATGCCCTGCCTTCTGCTAGGCATGCCTGCCCTCGCGGAGGCCCCCGGAGCATGGCTACAGTGGCGAACTAACTCCCATGCGGTGCTTAGTGATGAAGGGTGAGTAGTGAGTGGGGCCCGCAGAGGTGGTACTGGGTCCCAACGGTGCTTTTCCTATTTCGGAAAACACACAACTACATTTTCCCGTGGAGAGACTGTCCCATCCATGACAGCAAATGCTCTTAGATAGATTAGTGAGTTGCTGAGTATCACGTGGGAACGGGACTCAGGACCAACAAAGGGGGAGACCAGCCCAGGCCAGGCTGGTGCTTCCTCCTCCTGTCCGCTACACCTCTGTCCCCCACAGGCCTGGCCTGACCGGTCAGCGAAGTGGACAGCAGCTTCACGGGGTCCGTGGTGGCCCTGCAGTCCTGGCCGTCACCATCACCTGACGTGCCTCCAAGGGTCTCCCCAGACAGTGGCGCTCTGCGGGTCACAGCTGGTGGGGGGAAGGGGCATCTCCTCGTCCTGTGGCCTGAGGTGGAATCTGGTGACGAGGAGTCATCCTTTTTCTTCCTTTGGCCCCACAAACACCACTATAACCACGTTCTGTCCTCAAGAGGTGGCCTGAGCCCCAGTGCAGTGGCCTGTGCTGTCCCCTTAGCCCAGGCAGCCTTCTCTGTCTTCACCTGAATCAATCCTTGCAAATCTCAGACCCTCTTTCACTTCTCCTGGAAGCCTGTCGGGAGCACCCCCTGCCCGCCAAGGGTCTTCTCAGCCTCCTGATGCAAACTCCATCCTTCGAGCGACCGCGTGACTGTCTTCACTCATTCCCTGGGAGCTTGTTGAGAGATGAACGTGCACCACCTTCTGCCATGGTTTGTTCCTGCTTCGATTCAAACGGCCAGGAGAGAGAGCCCGATGCCTCCATCTGGGGACCCTCATAACTGCTGGTGGGAACACAGAATGGTGTAGACACTTTGGGTAATAGTTTGGCTGTTCCTCAGAAAGACTCAACAAAATTCTACTCCTAGGTGTGTACCCAAGAGAACTGAAAACACGTCCACACAAAACCTTGTATGTGAATCTTCATAGCAGCATCACACATAACAGCCGAAGAGCGGAAGCCACCCAAATAGCCACAACGGATAAATGGATGAACAAAATATGGTCCATCCATACCATGGAATATTACTCAGCCACGAAAAGAATAAGGTTCCGACACATGCTACTTACTACCTAGACGGAACTTGAAACATGTACATGAAAGAACCAGGCACAAAAGACCACACATTGTGTGATTCTGACGATGTGAAATGTCCAGCGAGGCAAATCCAGGAGACAGGAGGTGGTGAGGTTAGCCTAGGGAGGGGTGAAGGGAGAAACAGCAAGTCACGTCAGTGGGTGCAGCATTTCTTTCTGGGCTCAGGAAAATGTTGTCAAAGGGATTGTGGTGATGGTTGCAAACGGTGAATACACTGAACAATGAATTGTAAGCTTTGAATGAAGTGAATGGTACATGAGTTATATGCAGTGGCAACAGCACAGCCCAGGGCTCTATTGGACGATGGGCGACAGGCTGACACGGGGGCCACTGCAAGCCCATCCTAACCCTGGAAGTCCTCTGGATGTGGGCACCACCGTGTCAGTCATGTGTCAGTGAGAGTGCATCATCGCCCTGATGTTAGAAGGAAATTGAGGCCCCGAGAGGCTTGGTCACATGGCTAACGAAGGTGGGTCTCAAAGCCCACTTCGATGTTGCATGAGCAGTGGAGGGGCCGCCAGAATCCCGTGTTCCACCACCGAGAGCCCACGCTTTCAGGTCATCCTTGTCGTTTCATCCCACAGACTCTGCACGTCCCCGTGGCTGATGCCGTCTCCTGGCCCCCACCTCCCACGTGGGTGCACTGTGCCTTCTGGAGCTCCATCAGTAGGCTGGCACTCTGCTGTTGCCTTCACCCTCTCTGCTCCCCTGCAGCCTAGTGGGCACTGGTTGGCCTCCCTGCAGCTTGGGTCCTTGACTTTCCCGGCCCCAGCCACCTGCTCCTGGGGGTCACACCAGGACAACCCGCACCACAGCTTCCACTCTGAACCTCCCATGTGATCACGGCTTCCTGCGGAGGGCCCACTGCTCTGACATCACCGCCAGCCCTTCCACCCCAGTGGGACTAGGGCTTCATGCCTCCTCCTCTCCGCAGCCTCTCGCACGTTTTCATCCCTCATCTCCCGGTGTGTCCTCGTGGGCCCCTTCCTGGCTAAATCCTGCTGGTACAACCATGCCTCCTCCTCTGGCAGAAACCATGGCCGGGTGAAGTCCGCTGTCCCTGCTCCTCACCCCAGTGATTGGGCGAGTGTGACGAGGGACACATCAGCCAGCAGCCGTGCTGGCCCCCGGGCAGGCGGTGTCCTCCATCTGCTGCTCCTGGTGACCATATTCTGCCGCCTGGCTGCCCTTGCGCACTCCTTGCTTCCTGAGCTCATCTGGTCCCCCCCTCCCTGCAGATCAGTGCTTCCCTCTCTCATGTTCTGCAACACGGTGCCACGCCGGGCCTCCCGCTGCCCAGCTGCCCATCCTGTTTGCCCAGGGCACCCTCCCCAGAGGCACGCTCCCGGTGCTGTCACAGATGCTGATGGCTTTCCATTCCCGCTGCCTGCTGTGCACGCCTCGCTGGGACCTCGGCCCCAACCAGACACACGGACACAATGTCTATGTGGCCTGTCCACTCCAGGGGATCCCAGTGTCACCTTTAACGTGGCAGCTCCGCCCTCCAGCCTCTCGGGTGACCCCGTGGTTTCTCACTGACTTGTTTCCCGCCCTCACAGTCCACATGCAATCCATTAGCTAGTTACTGTCAGCCAGTCACAGCTCTAAAATGACAGGCTAAAAGCACTCCCTGGTTACCCCGGCCCACCCTTGCTTTCTCCTGGATGATTACGTTATCCGCCCCGAGCTTGCTCTTGCCTCCTTGCGCTCTGTCATCAACACAGCCAGAATGATGCTGTTGAAACATGATCCAGTTTCTCCTCTGCACCACGTCCTGTCCTAGCACCTCCCTCCCTCCATGTGAGGCCACAGTCCTTGCGGCCACCTGCACGCTGGCTCGTGATTTCGCCTCTGTGACATCTCCCGTCCTACTTCACTCGTGCGCTGGCCTCCTGCTGGCTCTCAGGCCCAGGCCTGCCTCCCTCGGGGGGCTCTGCCCTCTCTGCCCCTCAGCCCTGCACCCGCTCCCCAGCTTCCTTCCCAGCCCGCACGCACGGTCTGACTCCAGGTGCCCATTCACAAGTGGAATAGAGCATGGCTCCTGCCCCCAGGCCCCGCAACAGCTCGGCATCCTCTCCCCTTCTCCCCCTCTCCCCCACTCCTCCTCTCTCCCTCTTCTCTCCCCATCTGCCCCTCTCCTCCTCTCCCCACTCCCCATCTCCCCCCTCCTCTCCCTGTCTCCCCCTTTCCCGCTCTCCCCGCTCGCCGTATCCCCCTCTCCTCCTCTCCTGCTCTTCCCCCTCCCCCTCTCCTTCTCTCTCCCTGTCCTCCTCTCTTTCAGCGCATCTCTGACCTGACCCGAGGGGTCTGTTCTGTCTCCTTCCACAGGAATGTATGTCCCCGATGGCAGGATGCCTATCTGTCACTCACTGTTGTGTCCCAGCAGTGCTGGCAAAGCGTGCCCTCCGAGAAGACGAGGGCGGGGTTGGCAGCTCAGACCTCGTTCCGATGCCGGGCCCAGCTGGTAGCCGTGGGAGTCCCGCAGGGAAGGGGCACCATGTGGGGTCTGAAGGAGGGGGTCTGTGAGGCCTGGCCTGGCACTTAGGGCTTCTCCACCCCTTCTCAGCCCTGGGAGTGCCCGGTCTGCCCTGCAGCAGCCAGCGTCATGGCTCTGTCCTCTGTGACGTCACGGGGCCTGTGTGACGTCACAGTGGCAGGGAGCCTGCCCCTGGCTCCAGGCTCGCTGGCTGGGAGCAGTGGGAGGGAGCAGGTGGCCAGTTTCTTGTTTGACCCAAACGCTGTTGTCCACTTGGAGTGTGACCGTGAGACGGGGCTGAGGGGTCTCCCCGGGGACATGAGCCACAGGTGAGCCCACCTGCTCTCGGCCTGGCTGCCTCCACTTCTGGCACAGTGTCGCCTCGCCGGCCACCAGGTCCCCCCTGCTGACCTGCCCTCTCTCCCAGGTTCCCTTGACCCCTTGCCTGTCCCTCAGCTGCCGCGATGCGCTATGCGCCGGAACTCAAGAAGTCCCCCGCGCATCTCCTGAAGAAGTTCGCAGGTAACAGCACGCTGTGGGGCTGGGTCAATGTGCCGCCTTGGCGACAGCCAGCCGCCAGGCTCAGCCGGGAAGGGAGGCCAAGAAACTGGTGTCTTTATAAAGAACGTAGGAAAGTACTGTGAAGTCTTCATTTCCTTAACATTTCATTACACAAACACCCAAACCTGAGGTTTTCAGCATAAAAAGTATATTTTACTGTTTCCCAGGGAGCTAGAAGGGTTGAAGACATTTTCACCTTGAGCTTCCCCACTTATTCTTCGGCCACTTCGTAATTTTTATTGCAGGAGTGGGTCTTTTTTGAGGAAAAGTCTTTCTCAGCTGTCAAGTCCACCTTCCCCTCCCCCATCCTGGGTGCCGGCATCCATGATCGGATGGTCCCGCTCGGTGTCGAAGGAAATGAAGGGAGTGTGACTTTCTCCAAGGCACATGGTTCGTGTGTATGCACAGTGTGAGTGTGGTTACTTAAGGTCACGTGGAGAAAATCCTACGAGTGTGAGGCCCCTGGGGCCTGGACCAGAAGAGGGCAGGGCCACTTCCCGCCCATGTGTGTGCGTTCCTTGAATGTTTTCTCAGCTGAGCTTGTATTTGTGCATCACTCTTGCAATAAACCAAAGATGAGGAAACGGAAGGAGGACAATGTGGTTTTCTTTGTTTGGCTGGGACGTGGACTGGCTGGGTGTTCCGGGCTGGCCAAGCCACCATGGTTCCGGGAGGCCTGAGCCTGACTCTGGGGCTCTGGACGGGCTCCGGGACCCAGTCGTGGGAGAAGCCCCTCCTGGGACCTGTGTTCTGGTGCTCCGGCACGAGGTGGTGAGGACACGGGGCCCAGGCTCGCAGCCAGGCCGCGTGGGGCTCGCGGGACAAGGCCCAGGGCAGAGGAGGCGGTGGCCTGCACCTGGGGGTGCTGAGCGAGCATCAGAGGGTCTCCTGGGGTCCCCGCCTGGGAAGACAAGTCCTTCTCAGGGCCCTGGAGTGGACCTGCTTGGTCTCCGCTTCAGGGCTGACAGCTCGGGCTCTTGTGACAGGAACCTGTGTGTGGTGGGGACCAGGAGTAGTGTCCACCTGCCTCTGTGAGGGGGAGCCTGCGGCTGCTGGGGGCCGGCTGGGTGCCCCTTCTCCAGGTGGGGTCGGGGTGGGGGGTCACCCACGTGTGCCAGGAGAGCCGAGCACTGGCCGGCCTGCCCTCCTGGTGCTCACAGTGACCCGCCAGCATTTTGCCCATGAACCCTTCTTCTAGTTGGGGTGAACGTAGGTTTGTGATAACACATCTCTGTGCCCTTGGTAGACGTTGACGTGGCTGTTTTGTGTTTTTACTGAGGGCTCGTTTGTAAACTCTTAGATGACGGCTGGTTTTGTCAGCACCTCCTGGCCAGCAGGTCCCGGACCTACTGCAGGGTGCCCCCAGGTGGACACTGGCCACTGAGGCCAGGGCAGGTGTGGGGGATGGGCAGGTGTAGGGGATGGGCAGGTATGGGAGATGGGCAGGTGTAGGGGATGGGCAGGTGTGGGAGATGGGCAGGTATGGGAGATGGGCAGGTGTAGGGGATTTGCACGTGTAGGGGATGGGCAGGTGTGGGGGATGGGCAGGTGTAGGGGATGGGCAGGTGGAAGGGGTGGGTAGGTTGAGGTGGCCGTGGGGTCACCAGGCATGGTCTGGATGACAGTGGGCCTGACCTCGGGGCAGAGTCTAGGCCACGAGCAGTGCTCATTGGTTCAGATCCTTGTCCCTGCCACCCAGGCCTGGGCTGTCCTCTCCATCCATGAGGCAGCCTGGGAGAGGCAGGCCGGCCCTTTTTTACAAACCTCCAGGGGAGCTGACGAGCCTCGGAGCCAGGCTCTGACCTGGTGCCCGGGACCCCTCAGTTGCCCCCTGGGATGCCTGAGTGGGCCAGGCCTCCTGGGCCCCATCCTCGACCCGCAGAGACTGGCCGTCCTCCAGTGCCCAGCTCTGTGTGCCTTGCCACCTTGCCTGCAGCCGGGCCGGCATCAGCCAGCACGCTGCTGGCCCGTCTGCTCCTGGCTGGGAAGTGGGCCGGGCAGCAGGCACGGTGTCTTTCCCTATTGTAGTGCTGAAGGGTTGCGCTGCCCCTGGCACAGCCTTAGTGGGCAAATGTATGAATGACGGAGTGAGCAGAGGAACAGATGAGCGAAGACAGTGCCTGAAGGGAGTGTGGGTGCTGGCCACTTTGGTCCTGTTGAGGGGAGAAGATGAGCTGTGCGCCCCAAAGCTGACCATGCAGGCTGAGAGGTGCACTGAGTCAGCAGCATGAGTCGATCTGTCAGCTCAGCAAGTCTCCTTAGTGACACCTGCACTGAATGCCTCTGTGAGCCGGGTGCCCTGCTTCCCCGAGGATGGGGAGGCCGATGGACGTTTCCTGCTTCAGGGGCTGGTGATGGCGAGACAGCGGAGCCTGCCTCATCATAGAGCAGGAGTGCTAAAGATAGTGAGAACAGTACCAGCCAAGCTAGGGCGTCGCTGCGTCCCCACCCCGCAACAGCAGGTCGTTTCGATGTTCTGTTTCACTTGATCCTTACACCAGTCCGCTGCAGACAGACTATTGTTACACCCATTTTAGAGGCGAGGAAATGAAGACACCGGTTCTGAAGGTCATGCAGCCAGAGCGGGGGAAGTAGGATTTGAACCCGGGGTCTGGCTGTACAGCTGTGCTCTTAGCCTTTATTGATCTACTACGCGTCCTCTGTCTAGTGTCTGTCTGTCTGAGGCTAATGTCAGACCCTCACAAAGTTGCCATGAGAACTGGAGTGTTTCTGCGAAGTGCCTTGTAAATTGTAAGCCCCTGACACGTGCCGTTGGGGTTATTTCTGTGGAGTGGCCCGTGAGCAGAAAGCGGGGGCTCGCACACCATGGTGGTCTGCTGTCCTCCGCTCGTGTGCCTGTGGGACATCCAGAGCCCTTGTCTCTCCCGGGGCCCCGAGTCCTGAGCATTGTGGCCGAGGCGCCTTGCTGCTCCGAGCTTCAGAAGTCCGAATGAGCAGCAGACGTGCCAGCCCTCGCAGGACCCTCCCTGCACACGGCACGTGAGCTCCTGCACGGCCACACTCCCGGTCACCCTGCCGGCCGGGCCGTTCCCCGGGCCGCTCCCCACTCCTCTTTCCTTTGCTCCACTCCTCAAGTTCCCAGAGGACTAGAGCCTTCCTTCCAAGACAGCCGCCGGAACACGGGTCTCAACTGTTAGAGTTTCACGTTCCAATGACATGTGCAGAGACGTTTCGGGCCGTTGCCTGACTGTGTCAGGCTCCCCAGACGCAGGGGTGCAGAGACCCGGGCACTCGGAGCGTGTCGGGGTGCCCTGGGTCCCAGGAGGGAGCCCTCAGCTGGCTGGGATGCCCTCGGGCGCGAGCGCTCCTGCTAGCGTGGCCGACTGACCACAGACGACGAAGTTCTGCTGGAGAGCGGCTCCGGTTTTAGGGCCGACGGCCCCGGGAAACCACGTGTGCTTTGGGGAGGTTTTTCTCTTTTTCTGAAAACTGTTTCTTGGGTGAAGTGAGGGAGCGCGTGTTTTCAGGGCAAAACCCTTGGGCTCCACATGGATGGCTGCTGTGCTCAGGGCGCTGTGCCTTCATTCTGGCCTGTCCCTCCTTTGGAGACCTCTCTGTGCCTCCATCTCTGCACCCGCGGCATCACTCTCCAGGAGCCACGGGGCCAGAACTTTCCAGCAGCGCCTGAGGAGACAGTCCGGCTTCACAGATCTGCCAGTGGCCAGCTGCAGGCCTTCCTTTTTGACGGAGCATTCTAACCCACTGCCAGGAGTTCTGGAAGCTTCCACAGCCATGCAGTCCAGCAGTTCCCTCTACTGGAGGAGCCTGGCTGTGGTCCCCTTCTGATCCACTGTTTTACAGATGGCTCTGCAGACCACAGGGGAGAGATGGGGGTGCTGGGCAGTTAGGAGAGAGGACCTGGCTGCCCGCCTGCCCCCCTCTGCCCCCATCTGTCGGGTGTGGATTCCGAGGCCTCGGTCCTGGCTCCCTCTGGGCTTTTGCTTTTCCCTATGATGGTTCCCGGCATCGTGACTTGACGAGAGGGGGAGAGAGAGACAGAGACAGAGACAGAGACAGAGAGAGAGGGAGAGAGGGAGGGAGGGAGAGAGAGAAAGAGAGCAGAGGGCAGAGGGAGGGAGCAGGAGGCTGTGGAATTGCAGGTGGGTTTGGAGCTCAGAGAGGGTCCCGCATGGTGCAGAGGTCGGCTCTGGGCTGCCCCATGCGGAGACCCTCACCCCATCCTCTCCTGGCCATGGAAGATGGAAAACATGGTGTGAAGAGAGTTCCTGGGGCCAGGGTGTCTGCCATGTTTGCAGGGGCGCTGTGACCTAAGCCACTGTAGGGGGCAGGGTGGCCGTCTAGAGAGGGGATTCTCACCTGGGTGCTGTGTCCGGGTGCTTCCCGAGGTGAGTGACAGGTGAACCAGGTCATCCCCACAGGAGCCATGCACTCCTGTCTGCTGGGCTCTGTGCACGGGCAGTGTCTGTGTCCCCAGGGGTCTCTGTTTCCTTTTGAGGAATCAGGCACGTCCAGGGCAAATACACATTTGCAGAGAGCATGCGCAGGGTAATGAGCTGGAGACAGACCCACACCTCTGGGGTGCCTGAGCCACCTGGTCCCCTGAGGCAGAGGTGACTCCTCATAGTGAGTCACCCGTTGGCAGTGGTGTCGCGTACATATATGTGTGTGTGCATGTGTGTATGCACGTATTCACGTGTGGTGTTTGCACGTGGTATGTTCATGTGCATGCACATGTGCATAAATGTGTGGTGTGTACGTATGTGATATCACATGCTGCCTGCTCATGTATGTGTATGTGGCATGCACATCTGGTGTGCGGAGGTGCATGTGTGGTGTGTGTGTACACATGTGCATGCGTGTGTGTGGTATGTGCATGTGGTAAGTGAATGTTTATGTGTGTGCATTTTAAATTAACTTATTTATTTTGTCTTGGTCCCTGTTTCTCCAAGGCAAGCAGGAGGGACACAGTCGGCCTGGCCATCTGAGGCATTGCCATTCTCCTTTTCCTCACCTGGCCTGGTCCAGGGGCTGCCTTTCTCACCTGGCCCCGCTGTTCCCTGGATGTCATGGGTGTGCCAGGAGCTGAGCTTATGGGCTGCAGGTGGCAGAGCCCCAGCAGCTGGGGGTTGCCCTGGCTGTGATGTGGTTGATGGGGGTGGGGGGGCCCGCAAGCCTGAGCAGACGTGTGTGTCTGGGGAGCCACACTGCCCTGCAGTGGCCAGGCCCTGCCCAGGCAAGTCCCCCCTCCCCTTGGGGCTTCTGTGCCACCTCTGAGTCAGACGCTGGGTACTGTTCCCAGGGGACCAGCATGTCAGGGAGGAGGCAGCTGAAGATGCCACTTCCAGTGCCCGATGGTCACATGGTCCATTGATGCTCTGGGCTGGGGGCCTATATCTAGCATCACCCTACACCCATGACATGGGATCTGTTGGGGGCTACGGGATCTCTTCAGTAGCAGCACCCAGGCCACAGGCCCTGGAGCCTCCCTCCCCTGCCCCACAGCGAGCCCAGTGAGCCGCAGCTGACCCCCATCTCTCGGGGCTTTGGAGCCAGGAGGAGGGGTCACGCCAGGGATGGGACGTGAGAGACTCTTCCTGTGGCGACATCCTGGGAGGTCCAGGCCAACCAGACAGCAGTGGGGAGGAAAGGAATGGGGATGAAGGAAGCGGGTGAGGAGGCGCACAGGCTCGTAGACGTGACAGGGCGACTGCACGTCCACAGAGCGGGGAGGGGACCAGCTGCCCTGTGAAACAGTCCACCAGAGCAGTCAAAATGGGAAACCCCTACCAGTGTTTTCTCACGTGCGCGGTGACGTCCACGAGAACAGTTGTGTGAACAAAAATCACCCTTCACTCAGTGGGTTGTTTCCTGCCATGGGGTTTGCTGAAATAAACGCCCGCCGTCTCCTGGAGCCAGTCTGCGAACCCTCGTCCCCTTGGCTCTGTGGAGGGTGCCTGCGGGGCTGCCGTGGAGAGAGCGGGGTGACGGGAACCCCAGCGCTGCCCCGCCAGCCGGGTGGTCTTGGGTCCCCTGGATCTCTTCAGACGAGGGGGAGGAGCAGGAGCACACAGGACAGGGTTTGCTGCCACCACTCTTGTCATCAGCTGCCCCACTCTAAATTCTGTGGGGGCCGCAGCAGGCATGGTGACAGTGCTGTGTCCCCAAGACGGTCCACGTTGCCCTGAGGGTCATAGGCAGGGCTCCCTGCAGCCTGGACCCAGCACGGCTCACCTTCCCGTGCTCTGACAGCCGCTCTGCAGAGCCACTGAGCGCCAGGTGACCACAGGCACCGGCGAGGCCAGCGCACAGCAGCCCTCCCACCTGGCCGCGGAGCCACTCTGAGTCCGGCTACGGAGGACGGCCCCCCCGCCCGGCTCTGTCTGCCAGTCCTGGCGGCAAGCTGCGCCCTGGTGTAGGATGGGGCTCTAGGAGAGGGCGGTGGGGCAGGCGGTCAGCAGCCTGCCTCCCCTCGTGCTCCCACTCTGCCCAGCCTTTTGTGTCCAGGCAGAGGGCAGTGTCTGGGCGTGTGCTCCCGTGGCTGCGAGGGCATTCGGCAGCAGAGGGCCCCCGTCAGTCCGTCACATCTCTGACTGGCGGCGAGGCTGTGGTGACAGGATCTAGTGAACCCGGAGGGGGTGTGTTGGGAAGGAAGGAAGGGACATGATGGAAGGTGGGTTTCGCTGGAAGGCCAGGAAGGTGGGTGGGCTCCCTCCCCTTCCCCTTGTGACAGGAGACCCGGGCAGGGTTGGGGGCAGATGTTCTTGCTGCCACGTAGGGTGGTCCCCTGTCCTCAGAGCTGCAGACGCATGAGGCATGAGGTAGCTGAGCTGCTGAAGACGATCATTCGCCGTCTCCCACAGTGCCTTGCACAGTTATTAATTTTCCTTTTTTTGTTTTGTTTAAAACTGACATTAAACTTTCCATCCGTTCGATTCTACTTTTACATTCTGAAATAATCTGCAGCTTGTGTGAATAATTTGAACTCACCGTGTGCTTGAACGTGAATTAATTACACTTTGCAGCCTCGACTCCCAAATACCCATTGTGTTAGGTCTTTGTGTTCTGTGTTCTTTGTGGAGTGCCGAGCCTGGCGAGCGCTGTGCCGAGCTGTGTTATCTGCTTAATCAGGAGAGGACCCTGCATTCTTCTGTGTAATTAACTCCACATTATTTTCTTCAGAAGTCTCATTCATTCTCGGTCTTAGTTTCAAAGTGAGATTTGTATGATGCATAATTAAAAGCATAACAAAACCCCCCACACAGCGCAGAAGGCCCCTCCCTGCCCCAAGTCCTGCAGGATGACACTGGGGGCCGGGTTCTCAGAGATAACATCCTGTGTGTCTATGCCTTGCAGTGTGCGACATTCCTCTGTACGACGTATGTGACTACAATGTCACCAGAAGTCGGTGCAAGGAACTTGGGTGCTGCTTTTATAAAGGCGTCTGCTATGAAAAAGCCGTTCCAGGTAAGTATCCAGGCCAGGCCCGCCCCTTACCGACAAAGCCACGGGGCCCCAGGATCGGCCTTCTGTCCCGCCCCCGTCTCCTCTGCTGGACAGTCCTCTTTTGCTGTCCCCTGGCCATGTCCATGCTGGGTGCAGTAGTGGGTGCAGAGGGCTCGGAGGGTCTGAGGCTGGGACCTAGGCCACCAGAGAAAGTCTACGTTTCTGATATCCCTCGTTCAGGGAAGACTCAGGGCACTCTGGCCGGGGTAGAAGGCTGGGTTTGAGGAAACAGTACTACAAAAGCGGCTGGTTTGGGGCAGGGCGGCTGCCGGCTGTGTGCAAGGTAGGACCTGACCAGGGTGGAGCTGGAGCTGTGCAGCCAGACGATGAGGACAACTGAGGACGAGACCCCAGCTGGGGCTTCGCTGCAGGCTCATGGACCCGACACTAAGATCTGCGCCCCCATCCTTTGAGCCTGGGATGCACCCAGGGAGGCAGGACCAGCAGGGACTCCTGCCATGTGAGGCTGTGGGAGCTGAGGAGTGGCTGTTACCCTCAATATAGGGCCTGCTTCCCGCCATCAGCCCAGAGAGGCACGTGGCTAAAAAGTATTCCAAGGGCAGCGGGAGGGGTGGGTGCGGAGGAGGACGTAGCTAGGATGCTGGCCATGAGGGGATGTTGCAAGGATGCTCTATGAATACTGTCTCACACTTAGAGCTTTGGCCTTCTGTACCCTTGGAATTTTCTAAATTAATGTTCCCAAACCCTCAAAAAATTCCACTTGACGGTTGATTGCTTTTCTTGCCCTTTCAGAAGTGGGGGTGAATGGGCTCTAGGACCCTTTGGGAGGGGATGAACAAGCCGTGGAACCGGGCAGCCCACACAAGATCTCGCCAAAGAGGGGGAAATGCCCCTGCACATAGAAAAGCTGCCTGCTGGCCTCGGACACTTGGCAGCTCCGACGCTGTGGGAAATGTGTCCTGGGATCCTCTCTGTCCCAGGCCACTCCTGTCCTCACCACCCCGTGGACAGAGGCACACTTGTGTTCTGTGGCTCCTCTGTGGGAGGGCTCCTTCTCTTCTTTCTCCTCTAAGTCCCAGCGAGCCTGGACCCCCGTGGACAAGCCGCCAGGTCCTCCCTCTCCTTCTGGACGTGGGAGTCAGAAACATTAGTGACTAATCAGTGTTGCCATATACTGAACCACCGATCCGCAGACGCAAACCCCAGCTGACCCAGCTCCTTCAAGAAGAAAGTGATATTCTGGGCAAAACCATTCAGGAAGCTAAGGCATTGGCAGGATCCTGGCTCACCCAGAGGGGGAGTGTCTGTCTTGCTTTATGGTGAGGATTTGACACGACGAGCAAAGGGGAGTCAGTTTGCTTTTCAATAAGAGGCCACAACGAATGCCCTTCGTAGCTGGTGGATCTTCTGATGGCAATTTCTCCTTCAGATCTTGAGTCAGAAGACTCTGGACCAGATCTCTTTATTCGTCCTGCCCTCCCCCTCCAGGAAACCCAGCGCCCCAGGACCCCACCCCTTCCCTTGTACCTGCAGAGAGAAACAATTGGAAGTCACCTCTGTTTTGGTTGTTATTTTTATTGAGATAAAATTCTCATACCATAAAATTCACCCTTTAAAAGTGTATAATTCAGGGGCTTTCAGTATATTCACAAAGTTGTGCAATCATCACCACTATAAATTCCAGAACATTTTTATTATTCCCAAAAGGAATCCTGTACCTGTCAAGCAGGATTCTCCGTTCCCTTCTCCCTCCATCCCCTGGCAACCATTGATCCGTCTCTGTGTGTTTACCTGTTCTGGACATTTCTTATGAACAGAATCATAATGTGCGACCTTTTGTGTCCGGCTTCTTTCACTTACATAATGTTTTCAAGGTTCATCCGTGTTGTAGTGTGTGTCAGCACTTCATTCCTTTTTATGGCTGAACGATATTCCGTTGTGTGGCTATGCCACATTTTGTTTGTTTATTTATCAGTTGATGGAAATTTAAATTATTTCCACTTTTTAGCTATTATGAATGATGTTACTATGAACGTAGATGTACAAATCTTTGCGTAAACATATGTTTTCAATTCTCTTACGTATTTACCTAGGAGTGGAATTGCTGGATCATGTATTAACTGTCTTTTTAAACTTTTAATGAACTGCCAAACTATTTTCCAAAGTGGCTACACCATTTTACAGTCTCAGCAGCGGTGCATGAGGGTTTCAATTTCTCCACATCCTCCCCAACACTTGTTGTCTGTCTTTTTGATTGTGTCCCTTGTAATGGGTGTGAAGTGGTATCACACTGTGGTTTTGATTTGTATTGCCCTAAAGAGTGCTGGTGTTCAGCATCCTTGTATGCTTATTGGCCATTTGCATATCTTCTCTGGAGAAAAGTCTATTAAAATCCCTTGCCCAGTTTTGTGTTGAGTTAACTGTCCTTTTATTGCTGTAAGAGTTGTAAGGGCTCTTTATATATTCTGGATAGTAGACCCTTATCAGATAAATAATTTGCAAACATGTTTTCACAACCTGTTTTCTTTTCCCTTTCTTCATAGTGTCCTTTGAGGCACAACAGTTTTAGTTTCGATGATGTCGAGTTTGTCTGTTTGTGCTTGGGTGTTATATCTAAGAAAGCGTTGACTAATCCGAGGTCACAGAGATCTACGTCTATGACGTCTTCTAAGACTTCTGTAGTTCTAGCTCACACGTTTAGATCTTTGATCCATTTTGAGTTAATTTTTGTCCATGGTGTGAGGCAAAGGTCCAACTTCATTCTTTTGTGTGTAGATGTCCAGTGGTGGCAGCATCATTTGTTGAAGAGACTATTCTCTCTCCATTGAATTGTCTCACACTGTTGTTGAAAATGGATTACTCGTAAGTGTGAGGGTTTATTTCTGGACTCTTAGTTCTATCCCATGATCTATGTGTCTATCTTTGGGCAGTACCAAAACAGCCTCGATTACTGTAGCTTTGGAGTAAGTGTTGAAATCAAGAAGCGCGAGTCCTTCAATTTTGTTTTTGTTTTTCAAGATTGTTTTGGTTATTATGGGTCTTTTCATTTCCATATGAATTTTAGGATCAGCTTGTCAATTTTTGCAGAAAGTCCATCTGGTATTTTGATAGGGATTATATTGAATCTGTAGATAATTTAGAGGAGGAATTGCCATCTAATAATAAGTATTCTGATCCATGAACAAGGGATGTTTTTCCATTTATTTAGGTTGTCTTTAATTTCTTTCAACAAGATTTTGTAGTTTTCAGTGTGCCAATCTGCTTTTCTTTTATTAAAATTCTTCCTGAATATTTTATTCTTTTTGATGTTATTGTAAATGGCATTGTCTTTTTATTTTCAGATTGTATATAGAATACTAGGTATGTACCAAATAGAATTTTAAGGTTGCTAGTATATAGAAATATGACTGATTTTTGTGTATTGATCTTGTATCCTGCAACCTTCTTGAACTCGTTTCTTAGTTGTACTTGTCTGTCAGTCGGTTTCTTAGGATTTTCTATGTACGAGATCATATCAACTACAAGTATCGTTTTCCTTCTTCCTTTCTAACCTAGATGGTTTGATTTCCTTTTCTTGCCTGGCTAGACTCTGCATCCAGTACAATGGTGAAGGGAAGCAGCAGGAGTGGACTCCCCCGTCTTATTCCTGATCTTGGGCGGAGCTTTCAGTGCTTCCCCATTATGTGCGATGGTAGCTGTGGGCTTTACTGGGTATTTATCAGGTTGAGGAAGTTCCCCTCCTCTTCCTAGTTTTTTGAGTGTTTTTATCTTGAAAGGATGTTGGGTTTTATCAAATTCTTTTTCTGCATCTATTGAGCACCTCAATGGTGCTCTTTATTACTCATATGGATTTATGTTATTGTCTAGAATCCTTTCCTTTCATCCTGAAGGACTCCATGGTATTTCTTTTAAGGCAGGTCTGCCAGTGGTGAATTCTCTCAGTTTTTGTTTACCTGAGAATGTCTTAATTTCTCCTTCATTTTTGAAGGATAGAGTTGCAGTATATAAAATTCATAATTAACAGTCTTTCTCCATCAGCACTTTGAATATTTCATCCTACTGCCTTCTGGTCTCCACGGTTTCTGATGAGAAATCTGCTGTTGATCTTAAGGCTTGCTTATACACAGCACGTTGCTTCTCTCCTGCTGCTTTCAAGCATCTCTTTCGACAGTTTATCATGTGTCTAGGTGTGGCCGTGTCTGATTTCATCCTACTCAGAGTTCACTGAGCTTCTTGGCTCTGTAGATTAATGTTCATCAAATTTAGGAAGTTTTTACCATTTCTCCCAATATTCTTTCTGTCCCTTTCTCTCCCTCTCCTCTCCTTCTGAGATTCCCATTCTGCACATTTGGTATACTCCATGGTGTCTCACAGATCCCTGAGGCTCTGTGAATTTTTCTTGATTCTATTTTCTTTCTGTTACTCAGACTGGATAATCTCAATTGATTTGTCCTCGAGCTTGCAGATTCTCTCTTTTGCCTCTCAGTTCTGCTACTGGGCTCCTCTAGTGATGTGTTCACTTTTTTTATTGTACTTTCAACTCTAGAATTTCTATTTGGTTCTTCCTTTTTTAATTAAATAATTTCTACTTCTATTTGTTATTCTCCATCTGGTGAGATATCATCCTCATATTTTAGTTCTTTAGACGTGGTTTCCTTTAGTTCTTTGAACATATTTAACATAGCTAATTTAAAGTCTTTGCCCAGTAGGTCCAACATCTGGGCTTCCTTGGGGATAGTTTCTATTGATGGCCCTTTTTCATGTGTATGGCCATGTTTTCTTGTTTCTTTGCGTGTCTCATTTTTGTTGTTGTCAAAACTGGACATTTAAAATAATGTGGCAACTCTGAAAATCAGGTTCTCCTGCCTCCCCAGATCTGTTGTTGTCGATGTCACTGTTTGTTTAGTGGCTTTTCTGAGCTAGTTCTCTAAAGTCTGTATTCTGTGTGGCATGTGGCATCTGAAGACTCTGCTTGATTAGCCTAGTGGTTAGTTAACGAC